ATATTTACAATTGTTATATTTCTTCAAGAATTTACCACTTTAACAAAATGGCTTTATTTGTCTCTTATTCCATTGTTTTTTAAGGGAAAGTGTATTTTGTCTACCTCTGCCCTGTTTTGATTATGATTTGCATGAAATCTCTTTTTCAGCTTATATGTATACTTGAAGCAAAGTGATTCGTTAATAGGGAATAAACAATTAGGTCTTTTTTTTTAAGTCCAGTTAGTTACTCTATTTTATACTTGGAGAAATTAATTTATTTCCAATTAAAGTAACTAGTGATTGATGGGGACTTACCATTGCTGTCTTGTTTTCTAAATCTTGTGTGAGCCTTTTATTCAAATCTTTCTCTAAAATTTAATGATTTTCCATATGCTATGTTTTAGTCATTTTCTCTTTCTTTTTATTGTATATGTACCATAGGTTTTTGATGCATCCTTACAAAAGGATTTAGAAAAAGTATTTCATAATTATAACAGTCTATTTTAAGTGATAACAACTTAACTTCAACCACATACCCAAACTATGCTTTTACTCTCTTCCTATCACACACAACTTATGTTTTAATATCACAATTTATACCTTTTATACTGTGTATCAGTTAAGAAATTATTGTGGGGGCTGGGGATGTTGCTCAAGTGGTAGCGTGCTCACCTAGCATGCGTGAGGCACTGGGTTTGATTCTCAGCACCATATAAAATTAAATAAAGATATTGTGTCCACCTAAATAAAAAAATAAATATTTTTTAAAAGAAATTATTGTGCCAGGTATGGAGGCATGCACCTATAATCCCAGAGACTTGGGAACCTGAGGCAGGATGATCATAAGTATGTGGCCAGCCTCAGCAACTTAGTGAGGCCCTAAGCAACTTAGTGAGACCCTGTCTTAAAATAAAAAATTTTAAAAAAGGGCTGGGGATGTGGCTCAGGGTTTAAGTGCCCCTGGGTTTAACACCTGTTATCATTAAAAAAGTTATTGTACTTATATTTATGTTTCATACTTTTGTCTTTTAATTTTAGATTAAAGTTAAATGATTTACTCGGTACCATTACAGTATTTGAGAATTCTTAATTTGACTATATACTTTCCTTTGTCAGTAAGTTTTATATTGTCATGTTAATAATTAGTCTGCTTTCTTTTCAGATTAAAGATTCCCTTTAATATTTCTTATAAGGAAAGTCTAATGGTGATTAACTCCTTTAGCATTTCTCTGGGAAATTCTTTATATCTCCATAATTTTTGAAGGACAGATTTTTCTGGTTAAATATTCTTGGTTGGAAGTTTTATTATTATTATTATTTTAAAATATTCTTTTTTTTTCTTTTTTAAGTGCTCCACTCTTCTCTGTTCCTAACCATCTTCAGCTATCACTTAATTGATATCATCAATGACCCTTTCAATGCAGTTTTTCTCCATTTTTTTCTTCTCTATGTTGTTGGTGTAGGTTATTAACTGAACTTTTAAGCCCTTTCTATTTCAAATCATAGGTAGCTGACTAAATGTTGTTTTTATGGGGAAGGATGAAGGCTGGCATCTCCTACTCTTGCCTTCAAGCTGATTTAACTCCTAATCAGCCTATTTTAAAATGAGCTGATAAATAATTCTATTGTCATTTGCAAATTTCCTTTTACCATGTAACATAATGTCAGGAGGGGGATAATTATACAGAAACAAAGATCATGGAAGCCATTTTAATATTATACCTACCATAAGAAGATATACGAATGACCAGTAAACCTATGAAAACACATGCTGAAAGCGATTAGTTATAACACATATCCAAATTAAAGCCATAATCAAGAACCAGGCTATACTTAGATCCAATAGAATAATTAAATCACAAAAATAAAACAATGAAACCAAAGATCTTAAACATTGGTAAACTATGGCATAACGGGAACTGTCACATTCCTAGAGAAAATACAAAATGTTCCAATTGCTTTGGACATCATTTTGGAATTTCTGCAATGTTAAATGTGCAAATACCATATAACCCAGAAAATCCACTGCTTGACATTTATTCAAGAGAAAAGAAAATCTATATGTATAAGGCTGCTCATTGAAGTTTTATTGTTTCCCAAAGTAGAAATAACCCAAATGGATTTGGACACTTGAATGGATAAATATTATGGTATATTTAGTGCACTGAAATACTTCTCAATAATAAAAGACTAGTGATACATGCAACAACATGAATTGATCTAAAAAATATTATGCTTACATAAAAAAGCAAGACACAGAAGATTATGTATGACTACATTTATGTGACATTTGTGAACTGATCTCTAGTAATAAACCTCAGATTAATAATTATCCTAGTGGGAAATGGTTAGATTGACTAGTGAGTGACACGTGGGTTTCCTGGGGAGACAGAAATATTCTCTATCTTTAGAGATCATGGTTATGTCAACACACTTTGAATTTTACACATATTATGAATGTTTTTTATTTTATAAAAATTTTGCTTAACAAAGTTGATTTAAAATAATATATATTTCCAACAGAAGTGTTCTTTAATTTAGTAGTGTTCTTTAATTTAGTAGAGAAATACAAATAAGCCATGAGTATTTAAAAGGACACATCACAATGCCTTTTATTTTTATGTGGTGCTGAGGATCCAATCCCTTCCCGCCTGTGCTAGGCGAGCGCTCTACCGCTGAGCCACAATCCCAGCCCAGCCCGTTTATTTTTTTCTTTTCAGACAGGGTCTAGCTAAGTTGCTGTGGTTAGCTTTGAACCACAAGGTTCCTCCTGCCTCAGCCTCTGGAGCTGTTATGATTACAGGCCTGTGCCGCCACATCTGGGAAATTATAAGTTTTTTTTTTTGTTGTTGTTGTTTTATTAAAGTGAAAATACCCAATACTGGTTGCGTGTAAAATGTACCGTTATCCACACATTTGGGAGGATTTAATACAAACTCTTTAGAATAGTTATTTAAGGCTATATCCATAGCCTTAAAAATATTTACCACTTTTTATGTTATAATTACTCTTCGGAGTATTCTAAAGAAATTACCTGCTAGAATGAAAGTTACACAAAATGTTTCATCATAAGCTCACACATGCTAGTGAAATTGGGAATTATATGTCTAACAAAAGAAAATGCTTTTTAAACTGTGGGATAACAACATAATGGAATATTATGCAACTATTTTAATTATTTCTATGAAGATTTTAAAGTATCATTGGAAGAAAATTATTTTAAAAGATGCTGTGAGGAGACAAATTATGTTGTGAAGCCAATAATACAAATATGCATAGAAAGAACCAGAATAGGGGCTGGGGCTGTAGCTCAGTGGTGGAGTGCTTTACTAGGGTATGTGAGGCACTGGGATCTATCCTCAACACCACATAAAAATAAACAAATAAAATAAAGGCATTCTGTCCTTCTACAACTACAAAAAATAAGAAATATTTAAAAAAGAACCAGAATAATGACAACGTATGCATTAATGTTTGCCCAAGTGGCAGCAACTGTCTGCGCTGAGCAGATGTGATCTCATATACACTCACATCAAAACTATAAGACACATGAACCATTACTTGTCTCATTGTACACAAGAGGAAACTGATAAACATAATTGTCCAAAGTCATTATGCAGTATTTGAATCAAACAGGGCTGGATTCCTCGTCCATGTGCTTAATCAATATACTATAAGGCCTGTGTTTGCTAAAATAAAACAAAATATTTTCAGTAGTTTTAAGGATTGTGAGAAGCTCATTGCTATCTCATTCTTTCCCACTTCTTCCAAAGTTTCTACAATAAGCATGCTTTCTTATTATTATAAATGACCTTAATAATAGTAATTTTTAAAAATCCTCAAATTCATTTTATGTAGTCACACTCCTTGCTTTGGGATTATCTGCAACTCCTTTTTCCAGTTCTCTCCTCACACGCCCTGAAGAGATTCTGATTCCTCTTCTGACTTGTGCGTGGGCTCTCCTGGTATTCCACCTACAATACCCTGATCCCCACTCTAGAGCCACACTCTTTTCTCCCTGCTCCTGCTTCGCGGCAAACAGCTCCAAGGTGCTGTTTCCTGGCCTTCAAAGGCCGCAGGACCAGTCTTGCGGGCCCTCCTGGGTGCTGCCTCTAAGTGGCTTGCAGGCCCCTAGCGGCGGGCAAGTTCTGGCCACCGGCGCTGGCCAAGGCAGGCATTCACCCGGGAACGCAGCGACTTCCCGGGAGAGAGGCGCCGGCGGGGAAATCCCCTGGGACTTGCAGGACTGAGTGCCCACAAGGTCCGCGAGGCCAGGGGCCAGCCACTAGGGTATAGGGTTCAGGTCCCGGGACCCATGCCCCTTGGGGATCGCGCGCGGAACTTGGGAGGCACCAGCCCGCCTGGCTGACCATCCTTTATTAGATTAGGGCAGTTGCTGAAAACGATGATGATTTCAAGTTGACTCAGAACTGGCCCTTGAGAAAATGGAGTGTTAATTTAAAAGTTATCGGGGTCAAAATTCTCAGCTTGCCATCCTGGAGGAAGTAATGGTGGAGTGACCATATTTTAAACGGGTGATCTGGAGAGTTAATTACGTCTCTGGTTGGGAGCAAGAGACCGGGGAGCTGTTCGGGTGGTTCGTGGGAACCACAGTCTCGCTTCCGGGGAGCTTGGGCAAGGGTCGCGGGTCTGCAGCGCGGTGACCACTCGAGAGGAAGGACCAGGTTTTCCAGGTCACTGGGGGAAACGTTCGACTAGAGCCTGCGTCGCGGATGGGAGACGTTCGCACGCACTTACACAGCCCCGCAGCGGGTTTTTATGCCTAAAATGAGCCATTCGTTTCCCAGGTCCGCTTGGGGACAAATCGGTCAAACCCCCCAATCCGCTTCCTTATGTGGCCAATAAAAGGGTGCTTACAGAGTTCGCGGGGGAAACACAGGCGAGTACCTCCGTGTTTTGACTTTTGAAAACCCGACTCCGGGGAATCATCGCATCATTAATTGCAAATTTCAGTGTTCGATCAAGTCGCGGGGGGTACGCAGATTACTTGGTTTTGTAAACTCTTTACCGCGCTCGCCCCAAGTCTCCTGATCCAGCGCGGAAAGTTGGGCCGAGCTGGGGTGGGGAGGGTCCCCAGTCCCAGGCGACGCGCGCGGGGCTTCTGCCCAGTTTCCTGCCTCACAGCCGAAGTGTCCGCCCCGGCCCGAAGTAGTTTGTGCAATTTAGAAACTCGATAGGAGGCAGCAGCTGATCTCCCACCACCCTAAAAATAATCTGCTCCGGCGCACTGCGTGCTTCGGCTAGGGGAGGAAAGCTCTGTCATCCGAATGAGTGAGTCCATGTCTTTTACATAACTCTCATTAAAAAAATTTTTTAAGAGTAACTGTAAGCTGTTGATTTTTATCTATTATTTCGGCAATTTAAAGGCGCCTTTGCCCTTTGCAGCGCTTTGCCTTCACATTCTCTATTTCTAGGATTAAGGGACAGGGCCCCGTCGTGAGGAGGAGGGGGTGGGGATCAGGTTTCCAGTTTTTCTTACAAAACTGCCGGCTCCTACTTAAACCAACTGGAAACAGGAAAAGGTATATTAGTTTTTTTTTTTTTTTTTCTCTTAGACATCCCTTGTATTATTCATGAAGTAGCTGTCTCTGCTTAATTTTTGTGACTCTTTGCTTTTAGGAGTTCTGTGTCCTGGTTTGAAATTTACATCTTAAGACAGTGTAGGAAGTTCGTGTTTGGAAGGTAGCACAAGTGCATCCATAGGGGTTTGAAGCATCGTCAAGCCCAAGGTATTTATTTATTTATTTTTTGCTTTATTTGCTCAGTTTTCATTGCAATGTCTAAGAAATCTTATTTGCCAAGTGGTTCCAACATTTCCTTTGATGTGCGATAGAACTTCACAGTCCCTGAACAGTAAATGGGTGGATTTAAACCAAGCAGTAAACCAAAAGTTAGCCGTCATTTGTGTTAGTAAATTTCTTTTTGGGGGGTCTATGATAGTTGCTAGCCAATAGGTAGCTAGATACATAGCTATCTAGAGGTCTAGTTTTTATTTTATGAGCCATTGACTGAATAACTTCAAAGAAGTTATTGTAGCATTTGTTTTTGCAAGTGATATTTGCCCTGAAAATGTTCTAGATGATGATAAAGCCCTAAATTCTTTAAAATGACATGTTTCTCTCAGAGCATAACTTAAATAACTAAAGAATGAGTTGTTCTACATGTGAGAACAAGAGGTTGCATATTGAGTCTAGCTTTTTTTTTTTTTTTTTTTCAGGTGTTTTAGGACTTGAAGTTGTCTGGAATTGCTTTTCTGTCATAACTGACACTTTCTGCTTGGTGGACAGGAAAGTGCTAGTTTCCATTTAACTGATAGTCTACTTTCAGAGGAGAGAGCTGACAAAAATAAATGAAGTACCTGATGCTTTAATATACTTTATAACTAAATCAGATAACTGTTCTTCTCTTATAGATGAACTATAGGTCAATTATTACATTCATCAACTCAGTCCAAATTTTATAAGTCCTAGGGAATGTGGGAATTCATATAAGATGCTTCAAGGAAAAAAGAATACTGATGACACTTTTTAACCATGAAATCCTGTTAGATCATCAAGAAATATCTTCATAATTATGTTTTCTATTCTGTAGACCATCCCTATAATCAAAGTTTCACTTTTGATCTTTGTCTTTATTCAGTCAAGTTCTCCAACCCTGTTTACTGTCATAAATACTTGAACGTCTTTCAGAGGTTTATGCTTGTGGAGAAAACAAAAATGCTCCTTTCCCCGTGACCCCTCTTTCCTTTCCTTCCTTCTTGATACTAGGGCCTCTGTTAGGGCTTAGTTGAACTTCCACAGCTCCAGAAGGGGTGGCGCTGAAAGATGTCAGGTGACAGAGTTTAACGAGCAAGAGCAGTAGTTTATACGCATCCCAGAGCACTCCTAATTTCTTAATGTGGATTCTGGAAGAGAAACCTGAATGACAATAGGAAATTTAAAAGTTAGTAGCAATCTTGATTGAATAAAATGTCTTTGATGAACACAGTAATTATTAACGTATCGGCTGCAATAAGTTTACTACTTCCCTTTTTGTCCACGCTGGGTTGTAATGTGGGCTGGGCTGATTGTTTGTTAGAAGGTACCACAGGCCAGTGGGTTTTGGAGAAGGATGCTAAGGGAGAGAGAGAAAGAATAGAGGAGGCAGTGAATTATGATGGAAGGAAGCAATCATTCTAAATCTCTTTCAGTTAAGAGTGCTTTTAAAGTCATCCTTATCATTTCTACCAACTAAAGGAAGCAGTCTTAAAAATTCCATTACTATCTGGGTGTTTAAATTTTGTTTGTTTTTTTTTTCATCTTTACCAGAAATATATCAAACATACGCTAAGTGAAGTTAGCCAGTCCCAAAAAACTAAATGGCGAATGTTTTCTCTGATATAAGGAGGCTGATTCATAGTAGGGTAGGGAGGGGGAGCATGGGAGGAATAGAGGAACTCTAGATAGGGCAGAGGGGTGGGAGGGGAAAGGAGAGGGCATGGGATTATAAATGATGGTGGAATGTGATGATCATTATTATTCAAAGTACATTTATGAAGAAATGAATTGGTGTGAATATACTTTGTATACAGCCAGAGATATGAAAAAATGTTCTGTATATATGTAACAAGAATTGTAGTGCATTCTGCAGTTATATATAAATTAAAAAATATTTCCATTTTAGTGTTATTTAAAAATCTCAAGTCCTTTAAAAATATTTTATCCCATTTAGAATTCTAATAATTTGTAATAATATACCAAGTATATAACCGCATTTTGGGTTTTTTTTTTTTAAAAAAAAAAAACAACCTTTTTAAAGATGAGACAACATCTTAACTAGGGAGTACATCGAGGATTTTTGAGAAAAAAAGGGTTTATCAGAAATAATATGTGAAAGGGATTACATACAAGCCTTTTAAATTGTAAATATAGTCTTCCTCACTAGTTATTATATTCATGTAATGCTCTATAAAACCTTTTATTAAAATTGAATTTCTTCAATAATTAATCTACTTTTGCCAATATTTTCTTGGTAACATTCTTTCTTTTCTTCTAGGAAAAATTTTGTTTGTGCCCAAGATTAAGTCAATTGTCCATGAAAGGAAAGAGAGAAAAGGTACTATGTTAATCGAATTTTTTGCCAGACTTTAGTAATCTAACTCAGAATCCAGTCTGACATAATATGGAAAGGAAGCAAAGTCCATTGAGGTTAAAATCTTAAATTGCTACTTGTTTTAATAAGAATAGATAAGATCTTTTATACAAAAAACAGATTGGAGACTGCATGATGCATTGGAAAGAACATGGTTTATAAATCAGACAAGTGGATGTGGATCCCGGATTCTCTGCTGGTTGACAAGTTACTGAAACCCAGCTTAAACTCAATATCTACTGCTGTGAGATGCAAATAACACCTCGATCCTAAAATTTTCCTGAGGCTATAAGATAATATATGCAAAGTTCCCAGAATTTAGTTAAGTTCTAAATAAATAGAAGGCATTATAGAAGAGGTTTTTGGAATGCTGAAATTCTTGCTGGAATTTCATAGTAATATATTTTGATGGAGCAGTCTCTGGTTCCTCTACCATCTGTTTCAGTACAGCTATGAGAGGCATCTATTTAAAATCTAAGTCTGAGCATGTCATTCCTCTGCTCACAAACCCCAAGTGGTTCCATGTTACTCAGAGGAGAAGTCTCAAGGATGACTTCCAAAAAGCTCTATGTGATCTCTTCCTCTCTTTCTTCTCTAACCTTATCTACTTCTACTTTAATGGAATACAGATTTCCAACTTAAAGCTATCTTCTGTTTCAAAACTGGAGTAGAGTGCATTTTGTTTAAGAATATTTCTGACTGAGACTTGAGTGGTTTCATTGGTTTGTCACTTGAGTTGCATGTAATGTATCTTAGGTATTAGAAGTTAATATACTTCAGAGAGAGAATGATTACTATTTGCAGCCATGTTGGTCTTTGAGTATTACTATTTCTTAAAAGTAATAAAATATTTCAACAAATCATATCCAGCTAGAGTTGCTTAGTGATCATTTTGTTCTATGTATGAATATGGGAAACAATCTGATATTGCACCATTTTGACTTTTCTGTCACTGGTTTTGTTCTCTCTCTCTCTCTTTTTGTTATATCACCAATTTTTGTTCTTTGATGTTATTTAAGTCATTCAGACACTCCTTTGAGGTATGTTTCAAATTGAAATAAAATAGTTTTCTGAAAAATAGCTCTGGAGAAAAGGCTTTACAGAATGCATAGGCCATTATAAGAAATCCTTGTGGTGATAGTGGCCAAATTATACTGTTATATTGTGTGCAAATATGATATGTGGCAACAAATCCCATCATTATGTACAACTATAGTGCACCAATAAAAAATTTGGAGAAAACAAAAAGATGCTACTTGGCCATAGTTTTCTATTTTCTCAATTTCAAAAATAAGGGAAATTGATTTCATGCTAGAACTCCTTATTTGAGGCCATAATTTTATGACAGAAAGTTTAATAATAAAAGGACGTTTTCTTTCTTCTATCTGTTTTAGAATAAGTCATATGAAAAGAAATGAGTCTTTCATTTTGTGGTAACAACATTTCCTCATATAATATCTATGATGGTGTACTACAAAATCCCTGCTTTGTGGATGCCCTCAACCTGGTCCCTCATGTGTTCCTGTTGTTTATCACTTTTCCAATATTGTTTATTGGTAAGTAAGTAATCTAATGTCTGGTATTATTTTGCTTGATGTTTGTATCTCTTATTAATGGCTGAGATTTGGGATAATGTTGTATTAATTTCAACATGAAAACTGATGTGTAAGTCTGTGAGAAAGAAACAAGCAAGTATTTTGTATTTTCCAATGATATATTTTTGGCATATGATATTCCATAGGCTAAACCGCAGTCGCCTGCCAGCTCAGCAGCATTAGATTTTAAAAAGAGGAAGATAGCTCTATGAGACATAAGGCATTGTTGAGTACTTGCTTTGTGCCAGGTGAAGGGACTAGGAACTGGGTTATACCGAGTGCATACCTCCTGGGAATAGTGGAGTGGAGCGGATGTTTCAAGAGAAATGATGGCATCATATTGCCAGCCCACTTACAGATGCAGGAATAAGTTAGCTTGGGCATCAACCTGCCAGGAAGATGGGTGCTTCTTAGGGCTAGTGGGAAAGATTGCACAGAGTGACCTGCTTGGGGACTTGTAAGAAATAAACCATGCAAGTTAAAATAGGAGTGATGAGTCATGTTTTAGGTAGAAAGAGTAGATGTGGAAACTATTTAGAAAGGAGTTAGTAATATAGTCCCCTATTATTTTACAGTTTACATATATAAATATGCCAATAAATTAGGGAGATTATGTATAATTTATGTAAAACAACCAATAGATTCTTAAATGCTTTTGAAGTTGTGAAATATTTTGATACATAAAATGATTAATATAATAAACATCCATCAAACCTACCACCACTCACTTAAAGGAATACAACAGTAAGAATAAAAGGGACTCCTCTTGTGTACCATTTTCTGATACTTCCCACGCCTTATGTCCTTATCCCTTCTCAAGGTAACCACTATTTTTAATTATTTGGTGTTTAATGTTCCCATGCATGATTTTGCCTACAAAGATAAGTTAAAAATTTACTGGGCAGATTTTCTTAGGAAAACTGACATATTTTAATAATCTGCTTTAAGAAGAGGTTTAAAAATAATTTGTGTGATTTTATTTATTCATTTAGCAAATATTGAGGGGAATACCATGTGCTTCACATTCTAACAGAGATCAAGGTATTTCTGTCATATGGTATATACAGAGGCCAGCATAACTCTTGGTACATTGTTATTTATGTTAAACAAATGTATAGACACTAAATATATTGAGACCAGAGAAGCCATATGTGGAAATACTAGTCATGATTTATATAGCATTATTTGTAAGGCATTAAGAATGCTCCTTAACCAAAAGTAGAAAATGAATATTTTCACTGCAAGTTTACAATTAAACATTCATTTCTAACATTCAATAAACCTCTTGAGAGCCAGGACTGTGACATTCCTTTTTTTTTTTTTTCCCTATCCCTAACTTCCAGCACATACCCTGGCAATAAGGAAGAAATTGGAGTGGACACTGGCAAAAGGAATTGGAGAAAGATGCAGACTGCTTATTTATGACTGGTTACTTGAGTTAGTGAGGGATCATATATTAGTCTTGAAGAAATATCAGAAAGTTGGGTTGTTGTAAAAAAGACACACAACTGGCCTGCAAACGTTTATAGCATAAATTCTAGTAGAATACATTAAATGTAACTAACATTCCAATGATGAAGTACATTTGGAAACAAGTAAGATGTGAATCAATTTTCTTTTCAAAGGATGCTTTAGGGATCCCTTTGTATCTATACAGAAATTCTTTCCTGCAATATTTCAAGCACAGATCTCCATTCATTCTTGAAGTATGTAGGACTTTTCTACAGTCAAAAAAATGAGGAAAAGAGAGACAAAAGAAACAAAAGTGGGGTTCTTTCCTAGTATCATACATGAGGTGATGTTACTTTGCTTATAGTTTTGTAAGGAAGTTCACAAAATTTTACTGAAATTTCATCTTGAATTTTTTTAATCCAATAATGAACTGAAAGTGAACCCATAATGTGTTTGATTCTACTTTTGTTCATATAAATGAATAAAACTTTAGCTTTCTTTGAGAAAAGTCTAAGTGTGTTGAATAGTGGTGGTCCCACTCATAAGTAATCATTTTTCTCATATGTTTCAGAGTTGACTCAACTAACAAGTCCTATATTTTATCATGAATTGTGTCTTTTTTTCATTTGATCTTCCCCAGATTCCATGTTTTAAAAGAATATAGACAACAAATTTCTTTTGTTGTTTACTGTAATTATTGATTTGTTTGCTCTTGAGTGAATGAGGAAGTTGTGAGAGCTTCTGATGAGTGTAAGAAGGAGCCACGTTCCTCAGAGTTAGTGTCATTCCAGAACAATGCAGTAAAAGCTAATGTGTCCATCTAGGCAGAGTTGTAAAAATTAGTTGAAGTTGTTATTTTGCTTAACATAATGAAAAGAGAAGAGAATTTCCACTGGTGTCCTAGGGAGCACTAAGGTTTCAGAGACTTTCCCCAAGCTTACAATAATGTAAATAATCTCCATGATTATAATTGATCCTTTTGTTTATCTCTTCTTTCCTTTCTTCTCTTTATTTTTCAGGATGGGGGAGCCAAAGCTCAAAAGTGCAAATTCATCACAACACATGGCTTCATTTTCCTGGGCATAACCTGAGATGGATTCTTACTTTTGCTCTCCTGTTTGTGCATGTTTGTGAAATAGCAGAAGGCATCGTTTCAGATTCGTAAGTGTCTCAACGCACACAACACCAGTACAGAATACCAGTGGGTATACTACAACATGGATAGAAGTGAAGAGCATACCAAGCCAGACTTAACTTTAGGGGCATAACTCATTAGGAAAAAGAGCTGTCTCCATCTTCTATGATGGTGATGTGTTTCATCTCTACTTACGTGTCAGGCTTTCTCTGATAACACACGTTTAGATCTCTGTGACTTGTGCTCATTCATGTGTTTATATTTCTTTGCTCCCTGATCCTGGTAGCCCTTGCAGAAAGTTCTGAACTTTTAAATTTTTGATATTTACTTTATCTTTTAAAATAGGTATCAATAGAAAGATTGCCTATTAATGATGTCTATCTATATATAGCTGTAATAGCTGTATACTTGTATATTAACATATTGATCAGTTCTCAGGTGTTTCAGTTCCTTCTGTAAAGAAGCAAAAGTAGATGAGGCAGGCATTAAGGCATTGTGAGAACCAATGACAATAGAGCCACAAATTGAGGCTAAGTGTGAAATTATTTTAAAATCAGGATTTGTCAAAAGACCCACTTAAAAAATATTTTTAGTTGTATGTGAACACAATATCTTCAATTTATTTTATTTATTTTTTGTATGTGATGCTCAGAATCAAACCCAGTGCCTCACATATGCTAGACAAGCACTGTACCACTGAGCTCAACCCTAGCCCAGAAAAAGATCCATTTTTAAAAGGAATTTTGTCCTTCTTATAAAAAGTTTTTATTAGGCAATTGGAATAGAGTAAATTGTATTTGTAAACTTGAACAAAATCTGGGTAAATATTTTTCTCAGAATAAAAGAAAATAAACTCCAATAATAGGAAAATTCTGGTTATGAAATTGTGCTTAATGGTATAACCTAAAGAATTGCCATGAGAAGACCTTTAAAGGTTTTGAAAAGAAAGCCTCAAAAATCATTTTCCTCTTATCTAATAGAACTTCCCCTGACATCTGTTTATGTTTCTCTGCTGCAGTTAACAAGAAATGAAACTTCTAAGCTTTGGTTGTGGAGCCAACTATTTTTTAATGCTTTATGATGGTTCTTTGCAGATATGTGCATGTTTTAATTTCTGATAAAAAGAAAAATCAGAAATTCTAATTTATGGCCTCCCTCAAAGCACTTAGAAGTTTAATTGGCTATAATCTTATGATAGCTATTCAAAACCCCTTTGTGTATTTGTATTGACAGAGCCAATTCTAATCTTCACTTTTTTTTTACTTCCTGAATATATAGTTTGACCCTACATGTTTTTATGTATATTATGAAATGAAAGAAAGATGAACCAAGTATATTCTAAAACATTGACATCTTTTTGGTTCATCTTTCTTCCCAGCCACATAGGTGACGTGCAGCTTTAGTAGGAGACAGAAAGCTCAAGCCGAGTTGTTATTAGAATGATGTGCACTGGTGGCAGAAATGTGTTTTGTAGTGGTAGTGATACCAGAGACCCAGCCTAAAAACAAATGGGCAAAAATACAACCTGGGTCTTGTGCTATCCTACTTCTTAGCTATAGATTCCTTCTACAATTCTTTGGGGCCAGGCTTCTTGAAGAGTTATCGTCCAGTGACTTCTTTTTTAATTTGTTCTAATTAATTATACATGACAGTAGACTGCATTTTGATACATCATCAATAAATGGAGTATAACTTCTCATTCTTCTGAGTATACATGATATAGAGTTACATCAATTGTGTGATCACCTGTGCACATAGATTAATAATGTCCTATTCATTTTACTATCATTCCTCCCCCCATATTCCCTCCCCTCCCTTAACTCCCCTCTGTCTAATCCAGAGTATCTCTAGCCACCCGCCTTATTGTGAATTAGCATCCACATGTCAGAGAAAACATTCAGCCTTTGGTTCTTTGGGATTTGCTTATTTTGCTTAGCATGATATTCTCCAGCCCCATCCACTTACCAAATGCCATAATTTCATTCTTCTTTAAGGCAGAATAATATTCCATTGTGCATACATACCACATTTTCTTTACCCATTCATTTGTTGAAGGACACTTAGCTTGGTTCCACAGTTTGGCTATTGTGAATTGAGCTGCTATAAACATTGATGTGGATGCATCACTGTAGTATGCTGATTTTAAGTCCTTTAAACTCTTCCAGTGACTTCTAAATTAAAACATTTACTTTGCCTTTTCTCTTTCTCTATCATGACTGACACTGCCAGATCATTTCTTCCCTTTGTCTTCTTTAAACAAAATCTTCATGAAATATTCATTACTTAAAATATAACAAATGCTCATTATAATTTGTGAAACAAGTTATGCAAAGGCTTTCCTAATCAAATCTTTGATTTCTTTTTACTAATGCAATCTCTACATACGTGTACCTATGAGACAATTTTCTTTGTATGCTTATTAGACACCTTCACAGTCTACACATCCCTACTGAAACTTGTTAGCTCCCTTTCTCCTATCTGCTTACCCTCTTAAGGTCCCTCTTCTGACACTTTGACCTCTTGGTCAAACAGTCATCCACCCGGACCCACTAGGATTTGTTTCTATCTCTTCATCTTCATCAGTCTCCAACACCAACACTCTAACAACTAACCTCTTCCAGATACATTGTTTTCTCCTTGTGCTGCTGACAAAGCTTGAATCAGTCCCTCACCATTGGTACCCTGGCCCCTACCCATTGTTCATACTGTTTTTCTTCCTTCTACTTCTTTGCTCCCATCACAGCCTACATATTGTTTATCAGCTCTGTCATCTGCATTAGTGCAGAATGACTGGTTTAAACCACAAATCTGGCCATACCACTTACTTGTTAAAGTATTCTGTTTTCTGTAAGGAGAGATTCCTGCTCCTTATCATGGCATACAGATCTCTTCATGCTACACCCTATCTTAAACTCTGTTTAAAGAATATTAAACTACTTAGAATTTTGAACATGTTACACTTAGTTCATACTTCTTATGTATTTGCACATTCCGTTCCCTCTTTGGTGTTTTGTTTTGTTTTGGTTTTGGGTTTTTTTTTTTTTTGTACTGGGTATTAAACTCAGGGGCACTTAACCACTGAGCCATCCTCAGCCCAATTTTGTATTTTATTTAGAGAAAGGGTCTCACTTATTGAGTAGCACCTCACCTTTGCTGAGGCTGACTTTGAACTCATGATCCTCCTGTCTCAGCCTCCTCATCTGCTGGGATTATAGGCATGTGCTACCCTGCCCAGCCTGTTCCCTCTTTTTAAAGTGGCTATCTATCATTTTTCCAATGGGGACATTTCTTTTTGTATTTTAGTCTTCCCTGTCAACCATACCTCTTCAGAAATGATTTCCTTTCCTTTTCCTGCACTCTTGAGCAGGTCACTCTCTTCTCTTGACCATTCTGTGTACTAATATATTGAAGTAATTTGAGAAAAGTTAAATATCTTACCATGTGACAACATTGATGCAGACAGAGTTGAGAGCTTTCTACCATGTACATCCGGGGTCCAGTCATCTCTCCCACACACCTGGAGCTTTTTATTGCCCTCAGAATGCAGTTGTACTAAATTGTTGGCAATATGCTCTATCACATCTGGATACTACCAGGAACAGTCTTCCTCCCTTCTTTCTCTGGGCAGCAATTCTTCATTCTTAGGGTCTCAGTTAAAAAGTCACTTCCTTCACAAAGCTTTTTCTGATCCAGACACCAATGTTGTATCCTTATGGTCTCTATCTGTGTTGCTACTAATGTCCCCCAAAGACTCTTTGTAACTGGACTCTGTAGCTTACCTTATTGTCACTGCATTCCAGAACCAATACAGCATCTGGACCAACAAATGCACATATGTTGAAAGAATTAATAAGAATAGAGAAATCCCTGAAGACCACAGAGTTTAGGGAAACGGTCAAAGGAATAAACATACTTTTCACATGCTTTAGAGTTCCCATTTAGTTGATTATTTTAATCATTGAATTATTTCAACAGTTCTACCCAGCTGAAATATATTTGGTATAGGTCCCTATGTATTGCAGTGGTCATATATTTGTTTTGTTGCAAGCATTTTCAGATATCATATAACTGTGTTTATCCATGCCTCTGTGGTAGAATAGGTCCTTTCAGCAGAATCATATCATACAAGATAGTCTCCCTTTCCATATTCTCTTAGCAATTATGATTGCATTCTATATTTTAAATAACTTATAGTTAAACGTGAGTTTTAATGAAAAAATTGTAAACAAAATGAGAAACTCCAGAGCTGTCATCCTCAGACACTGACCCTGTGACTCTCTCCACAGACGACGAGAGTCCAGGCATCTCCACCTCTTCATGCCGGCAGTAATGGGATTCGTCGCCACTACGACATCAATAGTGTATTATCATAATATTGAAACATCAAATTTCCCTAAACTACTTTTAGGTAAGTATGACCAAGGATATTTTGTTGTTGTTGGGTTCCCTTAACCCAAAAAGATCTATTCATTTTTCTTTTCCCACACAGTATACTGGGTGGAGAGTGGGAAGCATGAAAAAAACACTATAATTAATCCCCGTGTCTCCAGGACATTGAGTCTCCAATAATTGGCCTTTGGGGTGTGTCAGCATGTGGCAGGAAAAAAAAAAGTGGATACATATTTTGGATCTGGGGCTCCCAGGAGTTGTACTCTAAGAATCAGAGAACTTACAAAGAGCTGCTACCCTGTGAACAATTCGTCTCATCTAGTTCCACATGTTTCTGCTTGTGGCTTGGAGTTCTGTGGCATCTTTCAAAGGTTCCAGCCTTGCCCTGATGCTGTGGGAATGCCACATTTCTTGATGGATGCAAGTGCACCAGGAGTCTTTCTGCAGCAGAGCATGCTGAAGAGTAGGCTGTCCTGAGAAGCAGCTGCCTCCAAAGCCCAGCTTCTTTCATTTGCATTGGGTCTTAGATTGTCCAGTTAACCTCTATCACCTTCTTGTCCTGTAGAAATCAGAGTCTGTCCAAAATGTTCCTAAGTTTATTTTTGACTTAGGCTAAAGTAATATAACACATTCTTTTTCTTTTATTTATTTATTTTCACAGTAAAATGCATTTTGACATATAGCACACAAGTGGAGCGCAACTTCTCATTCCTCTGGCTGTACATGGTTCAGAGTTATTCCACTAGTGTAATCATATATGTATTTAGGGTAATAAAGTCTATCTCTTTCTAATGAGCTGTATCCAATACTCTTTGCTTCATCTTTGTATTCCATGATATATATTTTCATGAAGAGAGACTAGATGAAAATATAGAACATGGATCATGGATGAGCTGCAGGGGCCCATGAGCCTCCTAAAGTGGTAGGGAGAATTGTGTGTTGGTATGAGTGAAGGCTTACAATTGCTTAAGGTCCACAGATCTCATTCAATTGTTATAATTTTTATATGATGAAAATGATGTCACTGATGATATAAAAATTAGAAAAAGAAATGATTACAGTGTATTAGTAGAGTCTTATTTGTTTCTCCATAAGATATTAAAATTTAAAATTGGTGCATGGAAAATAATGATCATTTAATTCTATGTTGTGTCCTACTATATGACTGGACAAGAGTCATTTAATAATAAAGGTAGTCAGGGTTAAATGTTAACTTACATGTATTGTCAAAATCTGAATTATCTTAACAAAAAACTCCCCAGTATAAAATGACATGCAGACATTATTGCAGAAATCTGAACATGCTAAAAAGCGAATTTTACAGCTAGCGATAGCCAAGGTTTGGTGATCTTGGTTTATCTGATGTAGCCATGTTGGTGGGTGCATACTAGCAACATATTATGATTTTAATTTGCCTTCCCCTGATAACTAATGATGTTGAACATCTTATGATGGCTTTACTGGTCATTTGTTATCTTTGTGAGATCTCTATTATCTTTGTGAATTGACTACTGACATATTTTGTGCCTTTTAAAAATTAGGTTTCATTTTATCATTGAGTTGTAGGAGAACTTTGTATATACAGATATTAATATGTCATTGCATGTGTGTTCTGAGAATATTTTCTTCCCAGTCTCTGGGGTTCAAATTAATTATTTAAAGGAGTCTTGATGAACAGATGTTTTAATTTTGATGTAGTATAATTTACCTTTTTTGATCTTATGTTCAGTTCCATGTCTTAAGAAATCTTAACTTTTCTCCTGCTTTCTTTTAGAAGTTTTATAGTTTCAAAATTTTTCGGACTATGAGCCACTTTAAATCCATTGTATATGAGGTATAAAGTAAGGTACCATGGTTCTTTTTATTCCAAATGGATATTAAGATGTTTTAGTAGCATTTGTGAGATAGGCTTCCCATTTACCATCATCTTGTTTTGATAGCTCTATTGAAAATCAAATTAAAAAAAAGAAAATCAAATCAAATGACTGTTTAAATATAATCTATTTCTTGACTCTATTTTCTATTCCTTTGATATATTCATAGATTTTTTATACCACTGTCATTCTGTGTTGATCACTGTAGCTTTAGAAGTCTTGAAGCCATCCATGTATTGTAAGTTATAAAATTTTTTTTTCCTCCAAAGATTGCTTTGGATATTCTGACTCCTTTGCATTTCTTTATATAGCATAGAATCAAGTTGACAACTTGTAAAAAAAAAAAAAAAAAAAAAAGTCCTGGTGGGGTACTGATGGGAATGGTATTGAATGCATAGAACAATTTGGGAGAGAATTGACATCTTGATGATATATCTAGTCTCACAATGTGTTCTTCATTTATTAAGATCTTCTTTCATTTCCCTTAGCAATGCTTTGTAGTATTCGGTATAGAGGTCTTTCATATCTTGTTAAATTTATTATTAGTTTTTTCCTTGCTACTATTGTAAATGGAATTATAGTTCAGATATTACTTTCCAATTACTTCTATCATTGTATTAAAATATAGTTGATTTTGTGACTCAGTCTTGTATCTTGCAATCTTGGAAATTCACTTATTACTTCTGGTTATTGCTTGTAGGCTTCTAAGGGTTTTCTGTAGTAACAAAAATGCCATCTGCAAATAGAGACACTTATACTTACTTCTTTTTGGGGGTGTGGAGGGTGTTACTCAGGGGCACTCAACCATTGAGCCACATCCTGGGCCTTGTATTTTATTTAGACACAAGGTCTTACTGAGTTGCTTAATGCCTCACTGTTGCTGAGGCTGGCTTTGAATTTGTGGTCCTCCTGTCTCAGCCTCCCCAGCTGCTGGGATTACAGGCGTGTGCCACTGTGTCCAGCTATACTTACTTCTGTTCAAACTTTTTATGCTTTCTTTTTCTTTTTAAACTTTTTTTTTTGCCATATTACTTAATAGAACCTTCAGTAAAAAAGTCAGATGGGCATGGTAAGAGTAAAATTCTTGTCTAGCTCCTGATTTTAGGGGAAAAAATACTTTTTAATAGTCGTGATGTTAATTATAAGCTTTTCATAGAAAAACTTCATCTGGTAAGTTTTCTATTTAGAGCTTTCTTTAACGGTTTAAAAAGTTATCATAAGGAGGAGTTGAAATGTATTGAATTTTTTTCTCTATCCTTTGGGAAAATTGTACTGTTATTATGCTAAATTGTGCCTATATATTTTTCAAATGATAAATAATACATTCCTGGGATTGATCACACATATTCATGATATATTATCGCATTTTTAGATTTTGCTAGATTTTATTTGTTAAGACTTTTTACATCTATGTGGTGAAGGATACTGATCTGTTATTTTCTTGTTAATATCTTTGTCAAGTTTTCATATGCTGGGTTATACTGGCTTCATAGATTGAATTGAAAAATATTATATACATATATATATATATATATATATATAAACATATACATTAAGATTTTTGTAATTTTATCTGTTTCTTAGATATTGAATGTAATGACTACTGAAGTTATGAGAGCCTGTAGTTTTAACTAAGAGAATTTCAAATTCCAAATTAATTAATTTATTAGGTATAGACTCCTCAGAGCATCTTTTTTTTAATGTCAGTTTTGGTAAGTCAAGGTTTCAAGAAAGTTTCAATTTATCTAAGCTTTTGGATATGTTGTCATAAAGTTGTTCATGATATTACTTAGTTATCCTTTTAACATACGTAGAATATATAGAAATAGGTACTTTTTCATTCCTAATATCAGTCACTTATATTCTCCTTTTCTTGATCAATCTAGCTAGGAATGTACCAGTTTTCTTGATCCTTTCAGATAATCAGTCTAGTTGATTGTATTGATTTTATTCCTTTTATCAATTTTTTTCTGTTTTATTGCTTTCTGCTCTTAGCTTTATTTCTTTTTCATCTTTTTATTTATTTTGTTCATTGTTCTTCTTTCCCTAACTTTTAAGATAGAAATGTAGGCCATTGATTTTGGTCCTTTTTCTCAAATACATCTCTAAAGCTATATACTTTTCTCTGTATCTTATTTTAGTTGCATTCCTTAATTTTAGAACATAGCGTATTTTCATGATAATTTAGTTAAAATATTTTCTAACTTGCCTGATGATTTCTTCTTCAACATATGGATTATTAGAATGTGTCTTTGAATTTCCAAATATTTGGAAACCACTAGGTACCTTATTGTGTGGAAGGTTACCCCCATTATCTCTTGCCTGGTGTTCCTTCCGTGTTGTGCTGTCCCCTTGAGTGGAACCTGTGCCCTGCCTCTAGATGATAGAGTAAGGCAAGGGTGAGAGTGCCACATCACTGTGCCTCTGTTGAGACTACAGCCCCACTCCACACCTGGATTGCAGCCCAATGACACTGTGAAGCAGAGAGCTAAGCCATGTTGCTTTCTGAGAAACTGACCCTTTTATTATTATTAAAAATATTTTTATTTCTGATAATACTGTTTGTTTTGAAGTTTTACTTTAATACTAATTTAGCTGTCCTAGGATTATTATACTTATTGTTTTAGTCATATATTTTTTTCTATTGTTTATTTTCAATCTACTCTTTATAACATTTAAGACAAATCTCTTCAGTCTGCATAATTTGGTCCATTTTCCCCGTAAATACATTCTATTTCTGTATTTTAAGCTAAAACAAGATATATATTTGAGTTTGTATGCCAAAGCTCAATTATTTTTCAAAAAGGAAGTTGTAATCACCCTTAACTTTTCTGGCCCTGATAATGTTGTCCACACTGGATTATCTTATGTGTGCTTTAGATTTCCTTTTATCCCATATTCATTTGTACTGATCTTATTTAAAGTTCAATGTAGATTGAATCCTTGCCAACATGTCTCTAGGAATGTCACTGCTTCTAATTCGTATTTGTTGCAAAATGTTGGCTGTGGTTATGAGTTGGTGTAGATTCCTGCCTTTCTGGCCTGACTACTTGAGGTCTGGGTTTGCTTCGTTAGATCCTTGTTCTTTGTGTTTGCGTAGGGTATGGTGTTTTAAATTATCTGTGTGAAATGAGTCATTTATGCTGGCATGCTGGTCTGTAAAGCAGAAACTCTATTCAGTAGCTACATAACCATGGTAATTCCAGGGAAATAGCAATGGACATATTTATGGGAACTAAAACACACTTACCTATTGGATAACTGACATAGACACCAACTTGTGAATTCTTCACAAGATCAGGGCTCTTAGAAAACAAGGCCAGACATAAAACCACTACATCTCTTTACAAGCTTCTTTATGACTTACCTTCTGTCACATATGACCAGAATGGAAGTCTTCAACACTTTTGAGTTATTTTTAGATGTTCATGGATTAGAACAATTAATATTATTATTAAAATACCCAACACAATTTACAGTTCAATGTGATCCCCATCAAAATACCAGTGATATTCTTCAGAACTAAAATTCATGTAGAAGCACAAAAGACACCAAGTAATGTTGAGTTAAAAAAACTAAGCAGGAGATATTACACTGTGTGGCTTCAATATATACTACAAAGCTATAGTAATCAAAATAGCATGATGTTAACATAAAAACAGACACAGAGGCTAATAGTACAGAATAGTGAGGTTGGAAATAACCCCGCATATTTCCAACCAACTGAATCTAGACAAAGACTCCAATACATATATTGGAGAAAGAATAACCTCTTCAATAAATGGTTCTGGGAAAGCTGGATATTCACATGTAGGAGATTAAAACTTTCACTCCATATCATAGTTTTGATTCAAAATCCCAAAGCACATTAAAACGTACACTTCTTTCTTATTAAATAAAATTATGTGCAAATAGAATACTTAAAATTGTCATTGCTATTATAAAACATTTTATTTTATTGAAATGTTAGTCAAGTTTTTAAAAATATCAGGAAAAATTGCATCTTTTCTTTTTTTTTTTTTCCTTCTATTTCTGCAGCCTTATTCCTGTATTGGGTAATGGCCTTTATTACAAAAACAATAAAATTGGTCAAGTATTGGCAGTCTGGGTGGGGAGTATCAGACCTGCGTTTCTGCATCACTGGCATGATGGTCATTTTGAATGGGCTTCTGATGGCTGTGGAGATCAATGTCATTCGGGTCAGAGTAAGTATCTAATAATATTAGTTTACTTATTGTGATGCAGGGCCTCAACAATAAAGGTTAAGTCAGCCAGCAGTTATTAGTATTTAAGATGATAAACAAGTGTGTATGATCCACACGTGTAAATATAAAGTTAAACTAATCACCAACCATCAGGATATTAAAGTTTCAGACATCTCAGTATGACCTCAGAATCTATACAGGTGTTGACTGTGTGCCTTTCATATGCCAAATATTAAACTCACTTCCTATTATAGATGACCTTTTCCCCATCATCTGTGATTAGTCCTAAACACAAAATATTGTATTCTAGAAATTTGTAATTGAAAAGAAAGTATTTTTATCCTTTGTGCCCATTTCACTGATGAAGCTTCTATGGCGATAACTTTAGGTATATATCCAAAGTAATGTGGTCAAAATTCATACTCGGCCTATAATTACAGATCTGTTGTCCTTTCCACTATATAATGTTAGTTATGTTGTGTGAGATACTACTGACTGACTTTTCAATATTTATTTTCTATTAGAGAACTCTGAATTTGCTTTGAGTGGACAGTTCTGAGTGCTGCAGCGAATGTGGAGACCATCCAGTTAATATCAGACAGATCACAGTTCAACAGAGCAACTCAACAATGGTGTTGATAGCACATTTTAAAATATTACTAATATAAAAATCTTAACTAAGTTGATGCTATCAAAGATAATGAAAGATAGGTTCTTTTAAAAGGCTACTTGATTTTTTTTTTTTTTTTTTTTTTTTACAATTCTGGCATTTAACTAGTTAGTGAAAACAAAAAGGAAATATTTCAAAGAGTATTTCAGAAAGGGATGAAAAAAGTTATTACAATATAAAATTTGGTGGCCTAGAATGAAAACATAGAAAAGGTTAAAATTATATTTTTAATATATATATATAAAAAAATTGGGCTCACGTTACACTGTGGAATTCTTCTTGGCCACAGAGGTATGTATTCTTCATGAACCCTCAGAAAGTCAAGCCTCCTGAAGACCTCCAGGATCTGGGTGTGAGATTTCTTCAGCCATTTGTGAATTTGCTATCAAAAGCGACATACTGGTGGATGAACACCCTAATCATATCTGCACATAAAAAGCCTATTGATCTGAAGACCATTGGAAAATTGCCAATAGCAATGAGGGCAGTAACAAATTATGTTTGCCTGAAAGATGCATATGAAGAACAAAAGGTAACTGCATGTCCATAATTATAGAGAATTGAATTAAATATAAAAGTGCAAAGCTTAGATAATACCCATGGTTAAGGAAGAGTAGATTTCCTCCATCTGTCTCTTACTCAGTGGTTTTGAGTCATGTTACTTGGATCACTGAGGGAAGACTAGAAGAGCCAGTGAAATATAGGTCTGTTATTTGCTCAGCCAGCACGTGAGGAAGGACTGAGAGAGCAGTATCTTTTCTCTGGGACATATGACCAAGTGGAAACTAAAAATTAAGTTCAATGAACTGTACAATTAATCTGTGGTACCACATCATATTTATAACTCATGGGATTTTTATTGTCTTTTCTCAAGCATCTTGTGAATAATTTTGTAATATATAGGTAAAATAGATCATATTCACTAGTAACTACTTTCAAGAAATTAAAATTCTTAAACTAATTATCAACTAAAATTTATATTCTGTAGTCTTAACTAGGGAGACTAAATTAAAGGGTGTCACCTACTTATTCCATGTATCATCTCATATGTCTCCTAAAATTTTATTTCTTCTAATACTTTCCTTGTGCTTTAATAATTGCTTTAAAAATTTAAAGATAAGAGAGAGTCTTTGGATATATATATATATATATATATATATATATATATACACATATACATATATATATATACACACACACATATGTGTGTGTATCTATCTATATCTATAACTATATCTCTCTATATATATCCAAATTCTTCACTTTGCATTCTAAGGCAGATAGCAACCTGGAACCATGGATAGGCTGGGGTCTGTGTAGGCCTCCATATGGATATTTTCAATTTGACTGGTTATCAATCTGAATAGTCATGTGTGCTACCCACAGTGGTCAATATGGTATATATTGCAACCATTACAAATATCAGGGTCACTTAAAATATTAGTATTCCCAACATCACTGGAAGAGATTAGATTAGAGTGAATCAATTAAAGAGTTTTTGGCTGCTCTAAATCAAGACCAACAAAGCATTTATGGTAAATGATGAAAATGACCTCTTGTGTCAGAAATCTGTTATGAAATTATCATTGCAGGAAATGATTACTACAAACGAACCTGAGTCATTTCTCTGGTTTTACCTCTGGGGGAAAGTATTGCATCAAAACTTCTCTGTTAGGAGTTGGGGTTGTGGCTCAGTGGCAGAGCTCTTGCCTAGCCATGTATGAGGCACTGGGTTCGATTCTCAGTACCACATGAAAATAAATAAATAAAATAAAGGTATTTTGTCCATCTATAACTAAAAACATTAAAAAACTTCTCTGCTAGAGAAAAAATTTACAATATAAACTAAGAATAGTTTAAGTTTTCTGTGTGTTCTCTACAACATAGACTAGCTTGCACTTGGTGTGTTAATGTCTTGCATCAACAAGATTAAGAAAATAATCAGATTATTCATTCAGAGGGGAATTGGATAGGAAACACAACTGAATTCTGTTTTATTGAGTTGGTTTTCTTTGCCACAGTGGAAAAACTTTGTCCACCTCTTTCTCAAGAAATAGGTATTGTGATGTTCCAGGTCTTAACATCTTTACAGTCAACAACTGTAGATTTGTGAAGCCTTGAGTTAATGTAAGCATATATGCCATTCCTCATTTTGCATTTCTTTGATAACTTGGCAAGCAGAAGCCTACCATAATTTTTTAAAGTATTGGCAACCATTCATGAGGAAGGGGAAAATCTGGATGAGAAACAAAGTTGAGGTTGGGTAATCTGAATGTGATAGGTAGATCATTACTTATGATCAAGTAATTTCAGAAATATTGACTAGTTTTTCAATAACCTTGATCCTGGTACTTTACAACATTCATGAGAGATGTGTATTTTCCAAATTAAAGGGAATTAAAAATAAATTTGGCCTAAGAATTTTGTGTTTTCTTTTAACAAGTAAAAATGATACAGAGTCTCAGAAAATCTAGCCTATGTATTTTTTTATTCTATTTCATTAAAGTGCATTAAGTAACTACTATTTGCATATAATTGCTATATATTATTAAAGGATACAATATTATGCATGCTGTAATGAAATTTATACATTTGTTTTCAAGTCATTAAAATATCATTGGAATTAATCAAAAGTAATTTATAGTTGCTGGATGACATTAATCACTACCCTAGGTGATTTTATTTTGTTTTCCTGGCTTTTCTTTCAGAAGAAAGTAGCAGATCATCCGAATCGAACTCCATCTATATGGCTTGCAATGTACAGAGCTTTTGGGCGGCCAATTCTACTGAGTAGCACATTTCGTTATCTTGCTGATCTGCTGGGTTTTGCTGGACCTCTCTGTATTTCTGGAATAGTACAGCGTGTGAATGAAACTCAGAATATGACAAATAACACAACAGGTGTAAGTTCATAATGCTTTTGAAAAGAAACACATTGTTGACAGTTTTCACTTTAATTGTCACTTAAATTTTTTTTTTAGTTATTGATTAACCTTTATTTTTATTCGTTTATATCCAGTGTTGAGAATCAAACCCAGTGCCTCATACATACCACTGGGCCACAACCTCAGCCCTAATTGTCACTTTCTATCAATGCAGTTTTATGAATAATTCAAACAGACTTTTTTACAGAGAACTGAAATAAAAAATAGTAATTCTTCTTGTGGAGAAAAGCATGTGCTCATTCAATGTATCTGGCCAAAAACTATTTCTCAGATTCAGAGCTGGTAGATAGTTAATAAGCATCTCTCATGTGCTAGAAATTTTGAGCAGAGATTTTACATTGATTATTTTATCTTTATGGCAAGTTTTAAGAATTTTCAAAGTCACTTTTTAAAAGGCCTGTGACCAATAATACTTGTAATGCAGTTTGTAATAGTCTACATTTATGTAATGAAAGCTGTCACATCATTTCACAATGATCAGAACAAGTCTTATGATATTTTATTAGGTATTTTTCTACTGTTTGGGTGATCATATGATATAAAATGCTATATGTTTTCTGTTATAAATACATAATTTAAAATTTTCTATTCTTCAGAAAGTGCACTATGAACTTCCTAGGTTGTTTTTAAAGATAAGATTCAACTTCCCCAGTTTCACAGATAGAAACTCTAGTTCAGGTGGATTGGCTTTCCTTTTCCATTTTCTCAGTCCTTTTTCTTCACCTATTAAAATTTTATGTGTTATCAAAGCCTACATTGAATGCTGCCTCCTCAGCAAAGCCTTCTCTGATTGTTTTTGTTGGAATTGGACTCTTCCTGTTGGCAATGACTACATAAGCTGTTCATAAGGAAGCACATTACTGTGGATACTTATCCTTCTGAATCATAAGATCTTTAAGCAGGACTGTGAACTCTTCATACTTGTGCACACAATGGTTAGCCCAGATCTTTGATACATCAGGGTCCAATTATTATTAAAATGAATCAGATATTTCTAAGATTAAATACTTCTGTGATGTTTTGTGCCCACTTAGCTTAATGACATGCAGATATCTCAATTCCACGTAGAGAGGTTCCACCTCCCTTGTTCCTTACATGCATTAGCCATGTTGATTTTCTGAGATGGAACAGAACTTGTGTATTTTTATATATCCCCAAGACAGATGAGGAATGGACCAGAAGTAGAATTTTATTAGCTCTCAATCATAAAAAGTGACAAGTGTCTTCATTACTAAAATTACTTTATCAAGTGTTATCTTTCCTTCTAACAAGTTGCCGCATGCTATTGTTACAAACAAAATCAATCTGTTTTGTATATTCAAATGGTGAATTCAGTTATATTTCCACTAAAACAATTTTTCTTAAGTTATGCTTTGTCCCTGGAAGTGTTGCATGGGTGAAATCAATAGTCAAATTACTTACTTTATAATATATGGTTTGTTAATATAAATTAAGATATATGGAAATTAGAAAAAAATGCTATATATTATTAAAGTAATACAATTTACACGAATTGTATTTTTGTACCATTGGTCTTACTGACTAGTTATCAGTTTTGTGATTTCTACTTTTTTTTCTTCCATGTTTTTTATCGGTGCATTATAATTGTACAAAATGATGAGATTTGTTGTTGTGGTTTCTACATTTAAATTAGATTCTAATGTTTTTTTTTTTTCACTACAACCCATTTAACTAATGAGAAATACATCTTTGCAGGAAATGAACTCAAAATTTTTTGAAATTAAAAGTTGCCTTTTATTCCACAGTTAGGTATTGCAAGCAGTCTTAATAATCAATTGGGGATTTTGTGCATTGAATTAGTTTATATTTGGGTCTTTGGTTATTAGGGGGAAAACAATACTTACTTATTTAATAGCTGCATTATAAGCATTGAGTTTTCATATTGAAAAGTTATGTGTCCTTTTAAAAATGCAAAGTGTACAACTGATAGATGAAAGGACTCATTTTAATTTTTTCTTTCTTTCTCTTGGGACAAGATTTCAGAAACCCTCTCATCAAAAGAATTTCTTGAAAATGCTTATGTTCTAGCAGTTCTTCTCTTCTTGGCCCTTATTCTGCAAAGGACATTTCTTCAGGCCTCCTACTATGTGACCATAGAGACAGGCATTAATCTTCGTGGAGCTCTGCTGGTATGTACAGGATTTGGTGATTTTTGTTTCTTTAAAATTCCATGCACCAGCCAGTTAGAGACATAGTAGTAGCTTCAGTTTTTATTTATTTATTTTCATTTTGTTTTCACTTTCATATTGCAGCCACAAACATTTCTAAGATCTACTTACTGAAAAAAAGAGCTAATTTAAAAAAAACCATTGAATTTTTAAAAATTTTAAATTTTAAAAATTAAAATGTTATTTAAAATAACATCAAGAAGAATACTTAGAAACCTTGCACTTACTTTTTACTATTGCTTATTGCGCTTGAGCTTAGGTTTAAATTTGAGTGTATATTTTGATTATTCGCTAGAAAAAAATGTTTATATTTAATTGAGGACAAAAAGGAACTGTACTAAAAAGGAAATTGTGGTTGATTTAAGAAACTGTTCATAGAGAATATTTTTTTACCCTTTCTCTCAAAAAATTCAAAATTGTTTTATTTTCCAATGAAAGTAAATAATTATGATATTGATTGTAAGTTTAGGGTTTCATGTGCATTTTTTTTCTTGTAGGCCATGATATACAATAAAATCCTTAGGCTGTCTACATCTAACTTATCCATGGGTGAGATGACTCTGGGACAGATCAATAACTTGGTTGCTATTGAAACCAATCAACTCATGTGGTTCTTATTCCTGTGTCCCAACCTATGGGCTATGCCTGTCCAGGTAAATTATTATAAGTAAGATTCTCATTTGCAGTAGAAAGAAAACAGAAGGAGCAGCAGTCAGTATTTAACTAGATAAAGGTTATAATTTTTGCATGTGCTTGATGTTATTATATTCTTTTTGTAGACAAGGAAGCTGAGACTCAGAAATGTTATGGTACAGGTTAAGAAAGTGGAATTTGGAATTATACTGCTTAGGTTCAAACATCTGCTCCACCCCACATGTGCCCAAGTGCTTATCCCTTCAAAAGTGTTACTTCCCTTAACTGTACAATGGAGGTAATAAACATACTTGCCTCATAGATTTGTAGGAATTGTCAAGTTGAAATAATTTGACATATGTAAAGCATTTAGCAATGATACCTAGCATTTTGAGGGCACTTAGTAATTGTTATTTGTGTCGTTGCCCAAATTCATGCAAGTCACAGAGCCAAGATTTGACCCCTTTCATTTTGACAAATTCTCTAATAGCATTTATAAATTATAGCAATTTCTTTACTCCATTCCATGGTTTTGTTAGCTAGTATATTATGAAATGTCAAATTTTATGAGATGGTAGAAACACTGAGAAGCTGGAGGACTGTTTCGAATGTAAAATAGCATTTTCATGAAGACACATGATTATTATCCAATGGGGTAAAAATAACAGAAGAAATAAATTCAGCTTTTTCTTTGCTGTCACAATGGATATTTATACTAAATTTTGCATCCTGTATATGGAGCTTATACTGTGGATCTCATTAGATGTTACCTATCATATGTCCTTGTGCACTATTCCTAATAAAGAATATATGATAATTTAAAAAATTACTATTTGCATTTTTAATTTTTAATAGAAAGTCAAGTTGAATAAAAACATGCACATATTGCCTGTTACAAAAGTAAGATAAATATATATTTTGTCTCATTTTATTAGGTAGCTGTCTATATGGTATAATTTAAAGTGCACCAAAAATCCCAGATTGCACCAAATGATTATATCTTGGGTGATCTTAAGGAATATTTCATTCCATTGGAATTCCCCAAATACCTAATTGGTTATGTGTTGTGACATTCCCACCAGAAAGCTGTTGTCACTGGCACACATGCATAGATTGAATGTTTGAATTGCATGTATATGATACATCAGTTGACATTTTTGAGCTATGATAATGGAGCTGCTAAAAAAAAAAAAAAATCAGGGAGAAGAGGAGAGCAGGGTTAAATCCCGAGTCTTCAAAGGAAAAAGAAGACAGTGGCAAACCAGAGAAGGTAGGCATAAATAGTTCAACCTTGAGTTTTGGGCAACATTTAGAAAGAGAAGTGAGATAAGATGGGGCACCACCGGAGGATTCTTAACAGTTTCAGTTAGTCTCAGTCTTCTTGACATCAAGTGACTTTTTGAATCATTAAGCAAGTGAGAAGCTTTCATCTACACAGAAACATCGTATACTCACTTATGATGCTGCCCCCTACTTCCCATTCCCATCGCTTTGAAAAGCTAGGACAATTCCAAAAGAATATGGAATGACAAATTTATGGTGAGTGTCAGCATTTCTGAAATTGTTTTTCATGTTCCTTTAAAAATTTAAGACTATTTTATAAGGTCAGAAGCATCATGGGGCCATTCTGCAACTTCATGCAATAAGTTGGTTTGACACCAGTTTTACAAATCATCGTACTAAAAATAAATTCTTAGTACTTAGCCCTCCCCAAATAAATCATAGTAAAACCCAACTGTCACAGTTGAGTTGACTTCCAAATAAACTTAATATAATAATTAAGAAATACTACATTTTCACTAAAAATATTTCCTTTCATGCAGTGGCTCCCACAGCTCCATTCATTTTCCCTTTTCCATATGTTTTTCTTCCTAGATCATAATGGGAGTGATCCTGCTCTATAATTTACTTGGATCAAGTGCATTGGTTGGTGCAGCTGTCATTGTGCTGCTTGCGCCAATTCAGTACTTCATCGCTACAAAGTTGGCAGAGGCTCAGAAGAGCACTCTTGTAAGTAACATCTTTTGGAAAATTTATTAGGAAAATCTAGTAGTGCTGTTTTATGTTTTATAATATAGGAAGTTAATGCATACCACTTGGGATAATTTAGAAATCATTATATTTCATTTCATTTGTTAGGCAACAAATGTGTACTTTATATGTTGGAAAAACAATTTTTTAAAGTGAAATGGAAATTTGAAGACTTGATTGTCTTTGACTCAAGATACCAGAATCACACACACACAAAAAAATCTTGATCTTTTTAAGGGCCATGAAGTGATGAAGCTTTAGATCTTCTATCACTTGTCCAAGAATATTCTTAAGAATGCTTTGAGACCTTTGGATGTCTGTTACTCATGTGGAATCAATAGACGAGTGAAGGGTGGGATTTGGTGCTTCTGAAATTGAATTTCCTTCGGGTTGATTCACACCATGTGCTGACCTATGGGGTTACGTGGAAATGTTTTAGTGGCAGGGGAGAACATTTGTGGTCAACTTGGTGAACAAGGAAAAGCCCAATTATTGACCCACTCTGGCTTCAATTTGCCATGCAATCTCTTTGAGTAAGAATTAGCTTCTTTTGAAAAAATATTTGCAAATAATAAAATTGTTGACAGCATGTTTAGAAGTGAAGTTTGATTAAACATGAGCAAGACTGTGTAAATCAGGTGTGAAATGTAGAGATGCAGCTGCTGATGGAATCCTTTCTCAGGCTGGTGTTTCCACTATGACAAGCAAGCTGTGTGCCACGCTCATGGATTTTATCACTTGTTTTTCTGCTGCTTCTGGTGAGGTTACTCATTATTTCTGTCTAAGCCATCTGCTCTTTTTATTTGAGCACACAAATATAGAAAGGTGTGGAATTGGACCTAAGTGTAGATATGACTATACTCAAACATCTGTCTTTCATTTAGTTGTTTATACCATATTCCTTCACTCATTTAACAATCATTTAATAGGCATTCAAGACCCTGTGGAGACAAAAAGATGATCAGAACACAGCCCATTTCCAACTTTTGCTTTTTCCTATCTGCCTTTTGGCCCCTCCACTATCCCTTTGGATAGTTAATAGGTCAAATTGTACCTTGCTAGAAATTCTACTCCCACTGTTTGGTGGTGGAGGGAGCTAAACAGCTGATTAAATTTGGGCATTGGTATCTGCTGAAAATCTCTCTATAATTAATCCCAGTTGTTAGTAGCTGGGGAATCTAATTTAGACTTTAAACAAAAGCTTACAAAGAAGCATGGAGAAATTCCTGAAGTTAGAGACAATAGATTTGGTTTCCATAACCATATGCTGAAGTTGTAATGTGAATGTCCACATCATTGTACCCTCACATCCCCAAATAAGAATCAAACTAACTATTCCTAAATTCATTGTTTTTTTTTTTCTTGTATGTGTGAATGATAGTGTTGAAGAGAGAACAGAATAGTTTAGATGTTGGAAACCTTTGTAAGTTTATTTATCATTTCTCAACATGTGTATCAATGTTTTCTGCAGATATTATTCAAGGTAATCATATGAAACCGAAAAAGTTCTTTTAATATAGTCTCAAGCAACAGAGACATACATGTTTTTAGGTGGAGAGAAATTTTGAGGCCATCTCATTAAACTCTTTCTTCAACAGTCTCCTCAAGTTGAAAAGACTGAAACCAAGAGAAAATTAACTACTTCTGGGAATTTCATAGCTTCATGAGTGGCAGAGATGGTCAGAAATTGAGACCTCCTCAATCTGTGTACACTATTTAGTCCTGCCTTTCTGGTTTACTTGGATGAATTGCATTATACTTTATTCCTCTGTTTTATAGGATTATTCCACTGAAAGACTCAAGAAAACGAATGAAATATTGAAAGGCATCAAGCTTCTCAAGTTGTATGCCTGGGAACACATTTTCTGCAAAAGTGTGAAAGAAACAAGAATGAAAGAATTGTCTAGTCTCAAAACCTTTGCACTTTATACATCACTCTCCAGTAAGTTGCTGTTGCTCTAAGAACCAGTGATGGGAAAAGTGATCAACGAACACAGTCTCTTCAGTTTCCATTACAATCAGTGAAACATTCTAGGCATTAAAGGAAGCCTGTGTATTTTCGAGGCATGTGCTGTTCAGTAGCCCCTACCCACACGAAGCTGTTCACATTTAAATTAAAGACCAGGGCAAACACAAGGTTAGAGTCAAGTAGAACTGATTTTGATTCCTTGTAGTTTGTGTGTCCTGGGCCATTTTACTTTACACATAAATCCTTGGTTTCTTCCTCTGTGACATGAGGAAGATGATGTTATTAGGACCTATGATTAAGACCTCTTATCAGTAAAATTGGGATGGCAAAACTGGTTTTCAGTAAACATTTCTGTAAGTTGATTTGACTACACAACTATTGCTATTTTTAGCCCCAAAGATGCTTTGAAATTATCTACAAGATTTTTTTTTTATCTCTGAGAGCTTATGACATGTTTTCTTGAAGACTGTCCTTAAAAGACCATTTTTCAAAATTGAGGGGAAAATATCATTTTCAAGCAAAAGAAGTCAAACTTCATTCACATAAAACTCTTTTTTCCAATGCATTTCAAGAATTTTTAAATACAATGTTTTGTTCTCAAAGTATGATGCAGCACTCTCAAAAATAATGGGCTCATGTGAGTACAATTTACCAAACTTAGACTATCTCTGCTAATATTTTATTTGTGAGTCAGTTTTGCTCATCCCCATTTTCCCCAAAGACCTTTGACAACTGAAAATTTAGAAATTTACATGTTGTTTTTTCTTGAATTATAAATGTCTTCAGATCTTAGAGATGATGAATGCTTCTTTGTGAAATAGGTTTATTGAAATTATCGAGTGTATACTCTATTATAGGCCCTGGGTCAATTGCTTTGTATTCACTATCTCATATAAACACTGGCAATGCCTAGTGCTCAATAGCCCATCTTCAGTTTCCTCATCTAAAAATTGGTGTAATATTAATACCTGCATCATAAGAATGTTGTGAGAACCAAATAAAGCCATAATGTGACACTACTTAGGAAACATTAAAGTATTAGATGGATATTATTTGTAGAGCACCAGGCAAAGACCTTTTAAAAAGAAAGAAAGAAAAAGAAAAAAAAACTGACATTGTAGGATACTGGATACTTTTGGGTCTTTTAGGGCAATCTGCCTTGAAATCACATCCAGACTTAGCAAACTGGCAGCTATCCAATCTTGGTCTGTTTCTTGATGAAGCCTCAGTTTCCTCAATGATAAGCTAGGATGTATTAATTGTATCTTGGGGAATTAAATATGGTAGTATGTGTATAGTGTTTAGAAAGGTATCTGCAAGTATTAAAAAGCAAAGTTAAACAGAACAAATAGTAGTAGAACTAAAGATCCATTTCTACTTGTGCAATCAGTGCTTTTCTTGCTTGAAACACTAATTTAAGGGAAAAGAAACTGTTGAACAATTTTGTAATCTCCATTGCCAAAGGGTCACATGCTATTTATGTGTTTAATTCATTGGAAAGGCAAAGAAGACTCTATTTTTCTTTTTCCACTTTGATAAAGTTTTATAAGGAGAAGTAAAAAGAAGATGAAGATTTTTTTGACCAGAAAGATCTGGGTTTTATTCCAAACTCCATCACCTCCTAGTTTAGAATCACGCATGTGACCTTTCCTAAGCTATTTCCTCATTATTGTGTAGTGTCATTGTAGACATTACTGAGAATGGGGCCAGGCGTTGGTGCACGCCTGTGATCCTAGTGACTTGGGAGGCTGAGGCAGGAGGATCAAAAGTTCAAGCCAGCTTCAGCAACTGCAAGGCACTAAGCAACTCAGTGAGACCCTGTCTCTAAATAAAATACAAAATAGAGGTAGGGATGTGGCTCAGTGGTTGAGTGCCTTTGAGTTCAATCTCTAATACAAAAAAAGAAAAAAAAGAAAGAAAAAGAAAAAAGAAAAAAGGAGAATGGGTGTAAAATGACAATCACACGTTAGTTATTGTGAATTGTTTAAATTATAGCAGAGCAAAATGGTGCCAAGCATAACACTGGGCCACCAGACTGCATGGGTTCAAATCCCAGCTGTGTGGCCATGAACTTATCCTCATCTACGTAATGAGACACTAAGGTATCTGCTGCCTGTATCTTGGACAGATTGCTGTCTCAGAAGTTATCAGAAAAGTGGTAGTACTTCTCACTCTTTCTCAAGAGGAAATTATTTAAAGATGCAGAATATAAATTAACTCTAAATAATAAGGAAGGTAAAAGAAATAGACTTAGAAATAGGGTGGCAGTAGAGAAAGAAGACTGAGGCAGAACCGTGGCTCCTTGTCTCTGCTAGTATGAAACTGGGATCAGTGTTTGAATCCTAAGTACTACACAAGAACTTATATTTGATAACTAATTTCAGGTTATACATGCAAAAGCAGTGTGGTTCTGCTGTGGACAGTGGAAGGGACAGTTCATGAGCTAGGATGCTTTATTTTAACCCAAATCTTCTTCTCTTGAAAAACTGAATTCTAACACTCACTATGCCATTGCCTGGCTCTGTGACACTTCACTTAATCTTTTGGACCGTTGGACCCTAAAATTCTATGACTTATGAACAATATCATAATAAATTGCCAACTTGGCATTTTTATTTTTATTTATTTATTTTTTAAATATTTTTTTGACACAACATCTTTATTTTATTTATTTTCTTTATGTGGAGCTGAGGATCAAACTCAGTGCTTCACACATGCTAGGCAAGTGCTCTATCGCTGAGCCACAACCCTGGCCCAGGCATTTTTATTTTTACAATGACTTTCAAATGCTAGTATTTTAGCCTAAAATATGAGTTTTCCTTGTTTAAATTATATATACCATGCTTATCAATGATAATGACATATTTTCCTGGAGAGAGATTTAAATAAGCAGAAGGTCTAAGATATGGAGTTAGTTTATTTACTGAAAGATACATAAATAAAATTAATATCACTACTGGTAAGCAAACTTCCAAAGTTTTGTCAAATTCTTTATCTCTTTTTATTTTTTTTTTTTGGTATTGGAGATTGAACCGCAGAGCATTTAACCACTCAGTTACATCCCTAGCCCTTTTATATATTTTATTTAGAGACAGGGTCTCACTAAGTTCCTTAGGGCTTCACGAAGTTGCTGAGTCTGGCTTTGAACTTCCAATCCTCCTGCCTCAAATTTCTGAGCTGCTGGGATTAGAGGTATGTGCTATGGTGCCTGGCCAAAATCTCATTTTTAATATGCATAGTAACCCAATTTTCATGTTTAAATTAGGTTAGTAAACCAAACAAAATAAACTGTAAAGCCTCTCAAGAATGCACATTTGTTAAATTCTAATAATTTGCATCATTAAAGGATTATTTTATCCAAGTTCCATTGTTGTAACATTTCATAAGAAAAAATAATTCTTCAATAAAGAGAAAGAAATAGTTTCTGGTTAAGAATAATATGTGGGAGCTCATATAACCATAGAAAAGGAGATGCCGACTGGGAAATGTTTGTGGACTCCAGACAAAGTGTTATTTAAAACGCTTTGTCTTCCTGTCTTCAAGGAATAAAGTAATAATAGATGATTAATTAAAATTACTGAAAATGTTTTCACAGTTCAATGAAACTAATGTATTTAATTTCTTTCCACAGTCTTCATGAATGCAGCAATTCCCATAGCAGCTGTTCTTGCTGTAAGACACTTTTTTTTTCTTGTAGAAATGGAACCAAGTCAGTGTTTATAAATGATGTAGGAACAAGAATGTGTGGGTGGTAATATATATTTCTTCACTTCTGCCATTTCCTTCTTTGAAATTTCCATTGCAACAGTTCTAGTCCTGGTTTTTGTAATCATGACACTGTAGACATTTTGGCCCATTTAATTCTTTATCGTAAGGGGGTGTTCTTGGCATTAGGATGTTTAAGAGCATCTCTGACTTCATCTATTGGATGTCAGAAGCACTCTCAGTTATGACAATCAAAAATGTCCTCAAAAGTTGGCAAATGTCCCCTAGGAAGCAAAATTGATAATAGTTGAGAACTGACTGTTCTAATCTCAATGACTTGGCTTCTATACATTTTTACAAAAGATGGTGCAGAAAATGTTAAATAATTCCATTATATTTCATGCTAAAATAACAAACCCAACAACTGGTATTATTTTTAAAAATGTTAATAAGTCTTCATTGAACACCAAAACTGCAGGCTTAATACAGATCCATCAACCAGGAGAACATTCTTTTTTCTCTAAGCATGTTTAGTGTAGGTTGGAAAAAGCCTGAAAGGCTGTTAACGATTCTGAGTTTTCTATCAAGTTATTCCTCCTACTCAGTAATTTGACAGAAATCAGTTTCCTATTCTGTAACTAGAATGTGTCCTGAATTCCTCACACATTTATTGCTAGGATGACATGTAAACCAGTAAGAATTCATCAATAGAAAGTATTGTTTCAGTTAGGGAGTTTGGGATAAGGTAATTTGTTTTCACAGTTGCAGAGACATATGTTAGTTTTATAAAATTTTATGTAAGCATGTGTGTAGCTTTCTCCAGCAATCACTAGAGAGATTTCTTTCTTTTTTTTTTGTGCATAGACATTTGTGACCCATGCATACACCAGTGGGAACAAACTAAAACCTGCAGAGGCCTTTGCTTCACTGTCTCTCTTTCATATCCTTGTCACACCACTATTCCTGCTCTCCACAGTGGTCAGATTTGCAGTCAAAGCCATCATAAGGTATGCACTAAAATGTCTGGAATTCTTTGCTTGTAGAAACAATATGTGCTCCTGGTAGTAAATTTGAAAAGTTGTGAAAAATAACATTAAAATCACTACTCAGAGATAATCATTGTTAAAATGTTGGTATGCTATCTTTCAGTTCTTTATTTATTTCATATAAAAGTGATCATTTTAAAATTTGAAAAATGAACTTCTGTAATTTTTGGCTTCTTCTTTCAGTTATTGTTTTTATTATGTTCCCTTAGTTTTAGAATACTTGAGGTTTACTGGTTATTCTGTAGTCCATTGTTTGTAAGTATTCCTTAATGATGATCTTTATTTTATTTTTTAAAATTTGTTCTTTTTAAATATACATGACTATATATTATTATACTCTGCTAGAGTGTAATATTCTGACATATTATATGTACATGGAGTATAACTTATTGGAATTAGGATCCCATTTTGTGGTTATATATGGAGTTTTATTGGTGGTATGTTCATATATGAACATAGGGTAGTTATGTCTGATTGGAAAGACAATGGAATGACATGACGATCTTTTTAATGGAGATTTAGAATGCTTCTGTTTTCTCCCTAACATATAGCATTGAGATAAACAACTTTGTTTGTCTTTGCACTTTTCCCTGATGGTTTTGGTTAGACTTACGGAAATGATGGTAGCAGTTCCCATAGTATGCACATCTTTAAGGTCCTTGCTGAACATGGCTACGTTGTTCCCACTGAGGAAGTGGTAGTAGGTCAAAAGGTGTGTGTGTATGTGTGTGTGTGTGTGTGTGTGAGAGAGAGAGAGAGAGAGAATTTATTAATATGTTCTACTGAAGCCATGCCAATTTATGTTGTACTGGCAGTGATGGAAAATATTCCCATCTACACTTCATATTCTGTTTTAATTTTAGTTAAATCAGGCAAAACAACAACAACAACAACAACAACAAAACAGGTTCATAGTCTGAAAACAGAAAGATATGCAGAACTATTTGGTGTTTTGCTCATTTTAATATGCTTTTAGAGTGTTTACAACCAGTGTATTCTTTGTCTTACTTTTATCTTCCCATAATGCATAACTGTGAATATGGATGTGATGTGATAATGCCAATTTCCTAACCATTTGAAAGCATGTTACCAAGCCACATGTACTACACTGTGTGTAGTGTAGCTACTGTATTCTAGATTCTATTATAAGCAAGGAAGCCTTAAAGTGGTATTTTTGCTATACAATTTTTATAAACTTTATAAAATCTCAGCATATTATGTAAACAGTCATTATATTTATATCTGGCCTTTGAAAAACATACCTAAATGTTAGAAAACTGGAAAACTGAGGCCTTAAATATATGGAGTATGCTTTTTGCCATTGAGAGCAATGTAGATCATCTCTCATAAGATTTTAAAAATGAGATCATTTTCATGGTATCTATGTATTAGTGAGAAAAATAGTATTTAGTGTTCAAAATACCAGAATCTCCAGTTTTAGGCAATAGTTTACATTGACTTACCAGGGGTTTAATTCTAGATAGCATTTAAATGCATATAAATTATCCTATTATAAATTAAGCTCTGCTAGAATACAGTGGTTATCATAACATAGCTTCAATCCTGTTCTCTAAGTTGTGTCATTAATAACATTTCGGAAGCTGTTAGAGTTTAAAGCTCAGGCCCTCTGGCCTCATCTGCCCTCATTTTCTTTTCTTATTGTTCTGTCTTCTGAACCACTTGCATAGATCCCTAGCCACACTGTGCAGCACCACTTCCAAATTAGGCAGTGCTCTGGAAGAGAAGCTACTTCAAACAATAAAATTGATAGATGGCCAGAGTCTGCTATTTTGGTCCTTATTTTCATTTTCTCCACTTAACTGCTATCCCTTTCATGGTTGCGCTATTAATTGGAATTTGACTTTGCACTCTAAGTGGAGATAAAAAGCAGCTGATGACTTACAACAAAAAACTCCTCTGAAACCAGGAGGTTATCAAACATCAAAAGGACTCAAAGAGTTGATTTGAAAAAAAAAAAAAAGATAAAAGTAATCCAGGAGTGTTTCTCAAATCCACTGTATACAATTCTGCTGTAGTAAATCCTGGTACAGTTGTGGGTGGATAATGTCCCTTGTGTATTTCTTCATAGCATTCTCCCTTCTGTACATCTCAGAGAAAAGGCATTTGCCAATTTGATAAAGACCAGTCTATGTTCAGGGCTCAGTTCCAGATTACCCAAGCCATAGGCCAAATAGACTCTGCTTATACAAACTTGCTTTTCTAAAATGACCTTCAGTGGTTGATTTACGGGTCCTACAGAGATGGCTGGTCAACAGAGGATGCCAGTACTTTTTCCCACTGTGTGTTGGTTCTGGGAACCCAAATGAACATTTTCCCAGTGTTGATTGGGCTCAGCATTTTCCTCTGTGCCTGGGAACCCGTGATCAGTCTTTGATGCCAGTTGGCCCACAGTGAGTTGAAAGGCCTGTTTATAATCGGAGACTTTGGTCAGCTGATTTTGAAATCTCCTCTTCAGGACTGTGGAAGTCATAAGTTCTTTGATGCACTCTTAATATTTGGTGGGTTAGAATGGGCCGAAGCATACTCCCAAACTTGTGTCATGCATGCATGTAAGAAACTTGGAACCTTTTTTACCAAAGGAAAATTCCATGCCATGTAAAATTCTCTGCTCCCAGGAAATTTTATGTTTTCTTTTGAAAAAGTTTATAATATATTAAATGTATCAGAATATTATATATAGTAAATACATATTTAAATTTAAATAAATATTAAATAAGTATTTATTATATACATATATATGATAAAAGAAAGAGGCAAATATGCTTCAGGCTGTCTTCTTAAACCCACAGTATCCTGTGTTTGAGTTTTCTGGACATTTTATGGTACAGAGTTACAGTCTTTATTTGCAAAACAGACTGAATAAAAGCCACTCTTATTTAAAGTTTTAAAACACTTGAACAAGAATGAGGTCTTGTTTATTGTTTTTTGTTTTCCATGATGCTGTCTTACTTCTCTATTTGTTTTATTTGTTAGGAAATAACTTATGTGTTGTGCTTTTCTGGAGGAGAATATGTTGTATCCCATAAAAGCAATGTGAGTTTAAGTATCTGGTACTTGATGTATAATTCAATATCTATGTCCAGAGATATTATTTGCCAAGGAAAAAAAGTATAAAACAAATTCCTCACTTTGTTGGGAAATGACTTTGTGTCCTTTCTCTCATGTACCTCTCCCAAAGGAATTTATGCTTGGCTTGTCTCCTGCATTACCTTCAGTCAAATAAATTGTTACTGATATTTATCAGATAGCATACTTATGCTTTGGCTGGGTCTCTATATTTCATTTTATAAAATTTCATAAATCCTATTGAAAAAACATGCAACTGCCAGCAATGAAATCCATTATTTCTAATGAATAGACACTTGTCCAAAGTGCCCATGTTGTGTTTAAACTCCCAAAGTAAACTTTGAGAATTGAAAAAGTAACATGTAAGACTAAATCCTTAAATATTTTTGTGAATAATCTAAACAAGTGAGAAATTAGTAAAATACTGAACTATAGTGGCTATGGAGGCAGGATAGCAAATTGGCAATGAATGTACTTGCTTTCAAATCACAACCATGGAATACTCATTGTTCAATCACAAGTAAATTGTTTAGTGTCTCTATAGTGTAGCTTCCTCTCTTATCAAATGAGAAGGATGATATCACCTGCTTATAGTGATTGAGAAAATTAAACTAGATAGTCTATTAAAAAGTACCTAGTGCATTGCCTAAATACTTTATATATTTTGCATATCTCCATTTATGCATTTACCACCACTGTGCTCATTTCTACTTCATGCCTCTGAGCATCTTCTACAGGTCGGCATTCATTTGTGAATGCTTTAGTTACATTGCTAGGCATTGGGAATTGCAAAGATGAAGAGACAACTAAAATGTACAGGGAGTGCACAGTTTGGTTGGAGAGACTAGGAAGGGAAAGTAATTCTGATATGTTGTGTTTTTTTATGAGCCTTACACAGAATGCCAAGAACCATGTGTGAGGACTCTTGTAGCTTACTGAGAAAGAAGGGAGACTCTCTGGTTAGTGAAGTTTTGAAGAAGGTGGTAGCTCTTTCCCAGATTCCTAAAGAATACATAAGACTTGACCAGTTGGAGGAAAAGGGGAAAGGTACTTTATCAGAAGGAGCCAAGATTGAGTAATTAGGTGAGAAATCTTGGTATATTCAGAGGACTAAAAGTGGTTCTGTATAGCTGGAGAAAAGATTCTGATATGAGAAGGGAAGTAGTGATGAGCTTTTAGATGATGCTAAAGATGCTGAGAGACGAAGGGTGCCATTTGTTATTTTAGGAGAAGGACTGTTACATGATTAGATTTGCATTTTTAAAATATAACCTTGGCAGTGTGGTGAAAATTACTTCACCCTTGGTCAGGATTCATGCATTTTCCATAGTTGTTTTGTCTCTGTGATTCCTGAAAAGACCTCATATGAACAGGAAATGCTTTTTGTATTACCCATTTATTCATTCATCAGACATTAACTTGAGGAATTGTTATGTTATATTTTAAATTGGGCTAAATTCTAAAAATGAAAATCTTTGCTCGTAAGGAGTTCACAGTCTAATGGGAGATATAGATGTGAAACCACCAACAACAAAATAGCAGCACAGGGACTTTTCAGCCAGTGATCCTAGGTCAAGGGAAAGGAGAGGTTTAGAGAAGGGTTGGTATTGTTCATTGCAAATGGAGTTCCACCATGGTATGTTACCAAGAGGAGAGAAATTTCTCCCCACCCCCAATTAAGGTCAGGGATCATTGTTTCCTGATGTTCAGCAAGATTGAGGCTCATTTATTTCATAAAAGCATTAGTAAGATTTGTGTGTATACCCAAAAAGTGAACTGAAGAATTGAATCAACCAGTTTTACTGTCTGAATCATTAGTTTATTTCTTCTTTGATTCATTGAACAAGCATTCATGGAGAAATGTGTGCCAAATGCTGCTAGACTTGAAGATACAGTGGCACATGAATTTGGCCTCCTCACTTCTCTTTCTGTTCAGGGGAATAGTGCAAGGTTGTTTACAGCCATGATTGACAAATCTGTGCTCCTTAAAACCAAATATCTTCAAACCATTAGAACAGAATGACAACTAAAACCTATAAAAGTACAGAAGGGATTTCTGCCATTTAAGACAAATAAAATGCTATTTCATAAAGCATTTCTAATGCTGAATCTTTCCAGTCTATATGGCCAGACTTTCCTAACAAAGACTCAAAGAGATTATGCAAATCAAAGTTTTCCTTAATCATCTCTCTTAATTCCCTGAAAGTACAGTTTGGAAGCTAGTGATTAGACTGGCTCAATGGATGTTATCTATCTTTATGTTTCTATGATATACAAAGTCAAGGCACTTGAAGATCATGGTTAGCAGACTGAATTAAACTTAATTTATTTTATTATCATGTCACAAAGGCAAACTTGGCAGACCTATCTGGAGGCAGTGAACTTGACTACAAGCTCAAGTGAAATTTTAAAAACCATAAATAAGTGAACCTTTTATTTTGAATATATATTTTCTAGTTTCCTATGAAGGCAACACTTCCCTTGTAGTTGATGCTGTGCCTACCAGTGAGTTTGTTCACTTTCAGTTAGCAAACAGGCTGGAAGAGCATTTCTTTTCCTTTGCAACTTCATAGGACTTAAAGTTCTTTTCTTTAGTATAATATTCACTTATAGGAGGATGTTTTCAAATCATGCTATTGTTTCTATTGTTACTTATTTTTGTTCCTGATCTTATGATATTGTTTGAGTAAATTACAGTGAAAAGGGTAAGTGAGTCTTATGCCTGGTTTAAGGAGACCGCAGAAAAGAATGTTTGCAAATTGTTTGCAAAATGTTTCTAGAACAGGGCCTTTCAAACTGTAAATGTACTTATGAAGCACCTCTGAATATTATTAAAATGCATATTTTGATTCACATGTTGGAGAGGGACATGAGATTCTGTTTCTAATAAGTTCCCTGGTGATGTTGTTTCTGCAGGTCCTTGGCCAATGCTTCGAGTAAAAAGACTGTAAAAGGCCCTCTCATTGCCAGGTTTAGAAAATATGTATAAAATAGTGCTTAAGCCGGATTCCTCAGTGGTCAGGGACCCTAAGTGATTTTTAAGTAGGTTACTTAACTGCTTTATGCTTAATTCCTCTCATGTGTAAAATTAGAATTATAAGAATATTTTCCTTATTGGTGGTATTGTTTTTAATCACCCTATTCCACCTTCCTTTTTGGCCCCACTAGTTTTGACAGAAAATATAGTTACAAATGACAACAACAATAAAAAGAAAGAAAGAAGTTCTATTAAATTTAGGATGATCAAGGTTCTTGTTTTTCCTGAGATTTTTCTGATATTGGCATTGAATGTCTTGTCCTAAAAACCGGTCAGTCCTGGGCAATTTAGAACATTTGGTCAATCTAGCTGAATTTCCAGATGGTCTTGAGAAATGATTTAGAGAGCCTGTTCACCATGGTACTGAGTGAGAGGAAGGTTTGTTTGTTTAGGTATTTTTGTTGGTGGGAGTTTTACTGCTAATCCTTGTTCTGTTTGTTTGCTTTTTGCAGTGTTCAAAAGCTGAATGAGTTTCTCTTGAGTGATGAGATTGGTGACGACAGCTGGCGGACCGGCGAAGGTTCTTTGCCTTTTGAGTCCTGTAAGAAACATACCACAGTGGTAAGTGCTTTTCTCACTGCAGAAGCTGTGAATGTTCTTGACAGAATGGATGGTTTAATGGGGATGCAATTAGAAAAGTTGTAAGCTTTATTTTTAATCTCTATGAAGAAAAAATTCTACCTGCTTCTATATTAAAAAAATACCTCCCAAGTATAAAATCAATAAACAAATGTATGAGGCTATAAAGCTTGTCTTTATATATGATGAAATAATTATCCCAAGAGGGGCAACATGTGTTCAACTCAAAAGGAAATTAAGAGGGTATTTGATCCAAGCTTTATATAAAAACAATATAAAATAAGCCTATACCACATTCTTATTTCTTTTAGTTATAGTATACTTTTTAATTTAAAATATGCTTTCTGATCCATTATGTAGTTTTATCTACTTAATATATTACAATACATTGCTACTTTCTTCTGCACATATTGAATTTGCACAGTTGTGTAGCTTGAACAAAGTCATAAGATTAGCAAGGGGTGGGGTCAGAATTAAAACCTGAATCTATGACTTGTAGACTGGTTAGTTCATTCATCCTTGACACATATATTTACTCAGTTTTACATAAAGTCTGTAAACCCTCAATATTAATTTGACATGTATTACATGCAATACAAATAAACCATTTATAATGTATTTGCCTGGTTTTACAGACTTATTGGCTGCCCTGTGCTTTGTGCCAGGACCTAAAGATGTGGCTATTAACAAGGCACCTGAGAGGCACCTGAGATCTTTACTTTCCCAGAGTTTGCTGTCTTAGAGTCAAATAACAAGTTTAAAACATTATATAAATGCACTGTGTGAAGAAAATAAAAGAACATTACACGAATGGGATACTCAAAACTGGGTGGTCATTTATAAAAGGGCTTCTCTGAAGAGCCATCATTTGAGTTGATACCTGTGAGACCTATAGGTACCTGTCCTACAATGGGATATTGGTAAACAAAAGGAACACTTCAGTCAGGAGAACAGGCATGTACGAAGATCTTGAGGTGGGAATTATTTCGACTTATTTTCAGGAGACAAAGATACACTATGATTGGAGCCTCGTGAAGAAGGAAAAGTGAGACAAAGTAATAACAATGACTGAGTCCTGTACACCAGAAGAATTTGGAGTTTAGTAGCATGCAAAAAGAAGTCATTGGCAAGGTTTAAAGTAGTGAGGTGAAATCAAAAGGTGTGTTTTATACATGATTTTGAGACACAGACATCTAGAAAGAGGCATCAGCACTGAAGATGTAAATGTACAAATCATTAGCCATTAGAGAATATTGAAATCAGTGGGACTGGATTATATCACTTTCTTGAAGGGTGTGTCTGAAAAATTCTGAAGAAATTTTTAAAAGTTATATGTATATTTCATAACAGTAAAGTGGAGAGATTTTATTCCAAAATGAGTCATGTTATCAGTTAATATTAGTTACTTGTGTAATGATTGGAAAAATATGAATATATTTACCATTTATGTGGCCCAACAAAAATGTACTTGCTGTCTTCTGACTGGAGAACTTGGAAAGCCTTTACAAGAAAGTTAATCTATATTAAATTTTCTTTCGTATCATGTTTTAAGTTGCTAAAAATAGTTAAGGCAGCACTTGGCTATATTTAGCCTTATTGTTTTTTTTTTCTACTTTTCTGGAGTTATTTATTTTTTGCTTTCTTTCAAGTAGTTTTATTGGGCAGGTATGATTTTTGTCTAAGAAGGAACTAAAACCATGCTTACCTGTGCTGTAGTAACAATGCATGTTTGCCATTGGGTGGATATAGACATAGGAACAAGAATACATTACAGAGTGACTGTAGTTTTAGGCATCAGGAAAGTCAAATATTTGATTAGAACAAGCCTCATCACACTTTGGATGAGCTTAGTCTACCAAAGAACCCATTAGATCATCTTTCAGAGATGTGGGGATAAGCAAAGTGAGATGACCTCAATAAAGGGGAGGTAGAAGGTTGAGTTCATGAAATTAGGGAAATTTGAGTAATATTTTTTTTGTATGAGATGAAGAATAGGAGAAAAATTGAACTGAGATAGGTTTTTGGAAGGAAAATAGAATCCTCTTCAGATGCATCCAATATCTTCGGGGTTATTGAAACCAGACCGGACTTCTGATGTCTTTCAGGATCATTCATCACTGCTGATGCGCCAAACCACAAACGACCAGCTTTTTTAAATGGAGAGAAAAAAAATCTTTGTGTTTGAAAATAACACTAATGGAAACTCCTTCTTGAGCGCGCTTAACATTCTATGTATTCTGTAAAAGCTTAGAGCTAAGTGGTTTTGGCTGTAGAATCTCCATGGAGAGTTAGTGACATTCTAGAGCCAGAGCCTCTTCAAATTACATCTATGGGACTCCAGCTCAAATCTCTGTCAACACATCTCCTCTTCCCACCCTCTCCTCAGTTTCGTGAAGTCATTCCTTTTGAACCTCTGAGGGCAATGCTACGATAGAATTAGTGACACCAGAAGACAGTGCATTTTACACATAGGTGGAGACCTGTTGTGTAGGGCAAATATATGTATTCTAAAGAATAATGACTTTCTGCAACATCTCATGTAACGCACTTCTAGAGCTATCTGCGAGGGCTGTGGAAAGGAAGAGCAAAACTGGAATAAAATTTCATCAACACACACATACTCTCTTTTCTAAGTTAAATATGTTTAGTATTTTCTATGTGATGTAATCACTGCTAGTATTTTACTCTCAATTTGCTCAGTGATTTTTTAAACTGTGTATTTATTTGTATGAAGCCTAGCATTGTACTATTTGATAGTTTGATGGTCTATTGGGACACCAATTGATGGAAATTGGAAAAGCAATATCTTGTTTGGATTAAATTACTGATTTTTTTAAAAGAACATTTCTAATTCCCATAGTAAAATTCAGTGGATTTTTCAAAAAACTAAACCTACAATTCCAAGTCAAAAATTTTTTTAAAAAAATTTTCACTATTCCAGAATCCTTTGCTTTTTAGATAATTTAAGTTTTAAAGTATATTACTGTTTAGTTTTCATAATTCCCAAGAAATATTTGAAAAAGGCAGATAGTCATTTATCTTGAAATACTTGTTTGCTAACTTCCTGGAACTAATTTTGAGCTTAGAAATTTTTCCAAGTTAGAGGTTTATGTAGCTAAATTTTTACCTTCTCTTTAGAAATTCATCTCTAGCTATGTGAAATCAGCATTGGAGATGTAAATGTTCAAGTCATTAGCCATGTGACTTCAAACATGTGAAATTAAACTCAAAATTAGAGAATGAGAAATTTCTAGTTAGACTTCAGTTTACTTCACATTTTTGAAGATGATCTCTCTCACCACAGCAGTCTTCCTCTCTAGAATGCTTCAGACCATTAACTAGAAATAGTGCAATAATATTTGACATAGAGTAGATCATCCTATAATACTTAGGAATCTCCTTATGAAACATTGGTTATCTTTCAGCAAAAGATCCTGAAGGTTTTTGCTTTTGCCAATCCACAGTAGATTCATGTGTAGAACATTCTGGTTTATGTGAGTGAATCAGACTCTAAATCCTCATGATTCCAAGAATGATCAATAGTACATTGCTGGAATGCTTATAAGCCCAGTGGGCCTAACTGATGGATTCTAATTTGACCTGAGTTAATCTGATAATGTTTTGATAGGACACACAGGTTTTTATTTCCTAGATAGATTCATCCACATTGCTGGAGAAAAAATATCCAGATCCTTATTTGGGATTCAGTACTTCACCACCATCACTTGCAAGTACCACATCTTCTTTTCATTTTTTTTTATAAGAGGCTAGAGAATTAGGTTTCACATCATAGCTCAACATTTTTTCATTATTTGCTTTTATGGAGAAACCACTGAAAAAATCATAACATGACATTCACTTTACTTGTTTCTTTTTCTTGGAATTGAAGTAGCAACGTGTTAATGTTCAGCAAAATCTCAATTTTTTTTTTCATAAAGCTTCAACTTGTGTTCTTTTCTATTTGGAATGTAGCAGCCAAAAACTATAAACAGGAAGCAGCCTGGGAGATACCACCTGGACAGCTATGAGCAATCAACAAGAAGACTTCGTCCTGCAGAAACAGAGGATATTGCAATAAAGGTTATTTTATTTCCTAGATTTGTACACAAAGAGAAACATTTATGTTACTCTTTTATGTTGAATTTCTGCAAAAGTGTCCCAAATTGTGTCCTCAAAATCTCTATACAGTGGTAAGAATCCTAATAGTACTTGGAAAAAAATCCCTAGATTTTTTGTCCTGTTTTTCCTGTTTCCCTAAATGTTTTACTGTTCTCATCTCTTCCTTGCCTCCCAACCACAGGTGTAGCTCCAGCAGTATGATTTGGTACCTGGAAAATGAGCCTTTCTGGTGAATCTGCATTAAAGCTAGTATATAACATATCTCTGTGTTGTATGCTGTGGGGAGTGCTCTTGCATACATAGATTTATAGAGAACACCAATATTATAAACCCAGACGAGGAAATAACTTGTAATTGTTTTCAACCCAAAAGGCTTAAGCCAGCGTTATATGCCTTCACTCAGCTTCCTATCACGCCATCCTGCCTGTGGTGATCTCATTTCACACTCAGCTCTTTATACCCTCCTTAGGCTTGTGTGCTTAGGTAAAACTTAGAATAGGGAACCTCAGAAATGCAGGCTGAGGGACTGATGGCTGAGATGAGTCCCAGATAGAAGTCAGAAATGTGCAGGCCCTAGACCAGCTCCCTGCAGCAGCCAAGGGACTCTGGACATTAGAACCACCAGAGTCCTGGAACTAGCCCTCTTAGAAACCTACTTACCCTGGCTACTTCAAGTTTTCCAGCTCCCCTGCACTGTCCAAGGCAATCAGACAGCAAAGGAGTCTCAGTGGGGTATATAGTAGAGCCAAGAGTTACATTTATTTCTTGCTCTCCTTGACACCTGACAACACCTGTACCACAATAGGTATGCCACAACTGTAGCAAGTCTGTCACTGGAGGAAGAAACTAGTGCTAATCCCACCTCTAGAGTTTACTGTGCTTCTGAATAGCCACCATAGTTTCAAACTCACCTTTAAACTCCAATTTTTTTTTTATTCCTAGTGAAAACTCTTAGGTCCTAATAATTCATTTATCTTTTTGAGCTGTGTTTTATTGTGAAATACAATATACTAGAGATCATTACATATTTATATTTGCAAACTTCCTTGGAAATCCCTGGAATGTACATCTTCGCACTCTCTCATACCTGCCCCTGCAGATATAAATGCCATTTTGACTTTCATATGTCCTTTTAAAAAAAGCATATTTTTAGTTTTTTAAGTTTAAATAGGTGTGTATATGTGTGTTTTGCTTCTTTTGTTAAATATTATGTATGTCTAATTTATTTGTGTTGCTGTGTGAAACCATAATTCTTTTATTCTCATTACTGCATAGTATTCCATTGTATGAATGTACCAGCACTTTCTCATCTGTTCTGCTTTGCTGACTTTGAGGTATCTCTCAGTCTGGAGGAACTATTATTAATGATTGCTGAATATTAGGGTACATGCATCTCCAACTTTCCTAGATAATGCAAAATTGTTTTCCAAAGTGATAATGCCAGTGAACATGTCTACCACCATGGACTGAGAGTTCCAGTTCCTCCATGTCTTCACCAATGCTTCTGATTTGCTGCCGTGTTGTATGCTAGGGGAGAAATGCAACTATATTTTACTGAGGTTTTAATTTGCATTTTTTGTTGTTACTGCTGATTGTCGGGTAGAGCATTTTCTCATATAGAGGTGCACCTCAACTTATGATGGGGTTCTGTCCTGGAAAAACTATCATAGGTTGAATATATTGTAAGTCAAAAGTGCAATTAACACGCCTGACTGACTAAATGTTATAGCTTAGTTAGTGACATGGTGCGCTGCAGACCATCAGATGTTTTTCCTCCTGATCACATGACTCTGGCATGTGCTGCTGCTGCTGCTGCTGCTGTTGCGTGGCATTACAAGAAGGCATAGCACTGCACTTCACTAGCCCAGGAGAAGACCAGATTGAACGTACTGTTTCTACTGAATGTGTATGGTTTTATATCATCAAAAAGTAGAAAAATAATTATGTCAAACCATCATTAATGGGAGACCGTGTGTGTGTGTGTGTGTGTGTGTGTGTCCCCATTTGGAGTTGGATTTCCTCTTTTGTGAATTGCCTCATTATATTTCCCTCTCCTTTAAAAAAAGAAATTGGCTTCTGCTATGTTGGCAATTATGTATGTGGCAATATTCTCCCACTCTGTAGCTTGGCTTTTCACTCTATTGTAACTTTCAATGAACAGAAGTTCTTCATTTTTTTTTCCCGGTACCAGGGATTGAACTCAGGGGCACTGAACCACTGAGCCACATTCCCAGCCCTATTTGAATTTTATTAGCAACAGGGTCTCACTGAGTTGCTTAGCACCTCGCCATTGCTGAGGCTGGCTTTGAACTTGTGATTCTCCTGTCTCAACCTCCCAAGCAGCTGGGATTACAGGTGTGTGCCACCACGCCAGGCCAGAAGTTCTTAATTTTAAGATAGTCTAGTTTATATAAGTTTCTGTTTATGGTTAATTCTTCTATTTATTTATTTATTTATTTATCTAGTAATTTATTTATTTATTCTCATTTAAGAAAACTTTTCCTACTCAGGGGCTATGGAGATAGTTTACATTAGGTCCTAAAATCTTTGAATCTATACCTTTCACTTTTAGTACTTTTCCCAGGAACACTTAAACAGAACCACATCTCAGCCCTTTTTTATACTTTATTTAGAGACAGGGTCTTGCTAGGTTGTTTTGGGCTTCCCTAAATTATTGAGACTGGCTTTGAATTGCAGATCCTCCTGCCTCAGCCTCCTGAGTCGCTGGAATTACAGATTTGTGCCACCATGCTCAGATCACTTTTAGTCCTTTAATCCACTTATGATCAATTTCTGTGTTTAATATTAAGTAGGGATGTGATTAGTAGAAAAATTAGTAATAAATAAATTGTAAATTTTGCTGGGCATGATGGGGCACACCTGTAATCCCAGTGGCTCTGAAGACTAAGGCAGGAGGATTGTGAGTTCAAAGCCAGCCTCAATAATTTAGTGAGGCCCTATGCAATTTACCAAGAATCTGTCTCAAAATAAAAACCAAAAAGGGCTGGGATGTCGCTCAGTATTTAAGTATCCCTGGGTTCAATCCCAGAAAAAAAAAATCAGTAGGAAATTTAGTACTAGTTATTTCACTACTTTTGGTAATATATCAGTAAGATCTTATTTAATTTTAAGTATGATAACTCATTTGCCCTGGCCTTATATATTAACCACTGTCCCTATCTATCTTCAAATACAAATCAAGGATATATTCATGTATGTATTTATAGCATGCAGGTCTTTATTTTTCTATGGCCTATTTGCCCAGGTTTTCACTGTTTTGGTTATTATAGCTTTCTATTAAATACTGATATCTAGTAGAACCTTATTGCTTAGACATTATTGCTATTCTTCTTCTTCTGTTTTGGGTTTTTTTGTGGGGGGAGGGGGTACTAGGAATTGAACTCAGGGGCACTCAACCACTGAACCACACCCCAGCCCTAATTTTATTTAGAGACAGGATCTCACTGAGTTGCTTAGTACCTCGCTGTTGCAGAGGCTGGCTTTGAACTTGAGATACTCCTGTCTCATCTTCCTGAGCCACTGGGATTACAGGTGTGCACCACCATGCACAGCATTTTTGCTGTTCTTCTTAGTTATGCTTCACCCTGTGGAGGAAAGAGGTAGACCTCTGGGCCCACATGTCTAAATTTGTATTTTTCTTATATTTTGACTTGATGTTTCCTTACCTCTTGCTTAAATGAGATTTTTCAGAAATTATATTTTATTCATCATTTTTACCCATTTCCAGCAGGAAGAAATAGACAAAGTTCTGTATAATTGCCCTGCCTTTAAAATTAAAAAAAAATTAATTCAGATGAAATCCACATAGTAGCAATTAATCATTTTAAAGTGAACAATTAACATCCAGGATGTTGTGCAATCACCTGTACCTAGTTCCAAAACATTTGCATCACCCCAAAAGGAGACCTTACACCCATTAAGCAGGTGCTCTCTAGTTCTGCCTGCCCCTTGGCACTGTCAACCACCAATCTGCATTCTGTCTTTATAGATTTGTCAGTTCTGGATAATTCATATAAATGGAAGCATACCATGGGTGACTTTTTTGAGCCTGTCTGGCTCTTGCCTTTAATGCTCCCAGATTTACTCTCCAGCCCCAACGTTATGGTTCCAGCTCTAAGCACTTGACACGAGTGCTTAAACAAGCTTATATCCTTGCAAAATAGGTAGTGTTGCCATAGCATTTATGTGCTTTCAGTTTGCTTAAATGTTTTTATGATAGTTTGCTCCATCTAACTGCACCCTGACATTCTGTAGCATGCATGACTGCATTTTATTTATCTTTCGTGACGGTCATGGCTGGCTGAGCAGAGGTTTGAACTCTCCTTCATCCTCCCTCTATCACAAACCCTAGTATAATGATCATTATTGTATCCATCCTTATGTAAACCTTACATGCAAATTTGATGTGTTAACTGGTTTCCCAAGGTCAAACAGCTAGTTAGAAAGCCAAGATTTTAACCCTGCTGGTAGAGAAATGAGTGCATTTTGTGCAAGGCAGGAGGAGATGAAAGTATAAATTTTAGCAGAGGAAATTGACATTGGCCTTCTCCCTGTCTTTCTGGAATGGAGGTTGTGTCCTCTTTTACTTCTGTGTAGCATCAGTACAGGAGGTGATGCTACATCTTTAGCTCTTTGCTGTTATTTTCAGACCATGTCTTTCCCTCTGGTGAAGCTATGGCATTTTCTACCCTTCTCACAGCTCTTAACAGAGGACCTCTCAGTCACTCCCCTACCTTGAATGAGATGCTAACACCTCTTGCTTATTCCATCATTCTTCCTTTGTATTAACTCACATGGGTGTGATTTAAACTTCTAAATTCACAGCCTATCTTGCATCCAGCTCAGAAATCCTTTATCTACTGTCACTCCACTTGCAGGACCTCCCCTTTGTTCACCCTTGGTCACCACCTGAAACTGCTCCCCCTCTAACATCTTACTCCATGTCACTGACAACAAAATGTTACTAACCAGTCACTGAACAAAATCCTGATCTCGAGCTTTCCCAAGCATTCACCTTCATGCTCATTGTTTTTTGACTTCATTGAAATCTCCAGCATCTTCAGCTCCCCCGACTTTTTTCTCCCAGTCCTTTATTACACTTCTGTAGCAAACTAACTTCATGACTTCTGCACATCTATAACCAGGCTGCTGAGTGCCATGGATAAAATGACACAAAGGCACTGCTTGGCACAGATTTATTATCTCCAGTTTCAGTGACCTTCAGGAGTTCTCATGATCATTGCACATGCCTCTCTTCAGCATTATTTTCCACACCTACAGTATCTATTCACCTGTCACCACGGTCCTCCCACCTCCTTCTCCCTCTTTTCCTCCTCTTTCTGCAGATAACCTTAGCTCCCAATGTACTGAAAACCTTGACAGTGTCACATGGAGCCTCTCAACTTCATGCTGGCTCTCTTCCAAATGCATCTATTTTGGTACCTCTTTTAGCTTCCTTGCCTGCTCTCTAACAAAGGGCTCCTCCACCTCTGAGGCTATATAATTTCTTTGCATGTCATTTGTCGTTTTGCTACAGTATCTTCAATGCCTGCACCAGCCAGCTCAGTCCCTAATTTCTCACAACATATTTTGTTATTTTCTGATCTTTGGTCAATTCTTACTGTAGTACTTTACCCAGAAATGCATTTGTTGACATTTAGTATGTTTTCCAAAACTAGCTAAAGGGCCTCTTCTTCCAAAATTTTTTTTGACTCATCCTAGATAAATGATTTCTTTTCTGAACTGCTATTGCTCTTATTGCCTGTCCTATTTGGTACTGATCCTGTGCTGTCTTGTAGTACACTTATCATATGCATCTTGATGGTGGGATAAGTTTGGAGACATGCATCAAGCAGTTTTGTCCCTGTGGGGACATCATAGAGTATGCAAAACAAGGTGACTACAGCCTCACTAGACAGTATAATTTTACCAGGCTGCCCTTTTCTACACAACCCATCATTAACAGAAGCATCACTACACAGTGCATAATTTGTCTTTCCATGGTCTGTTTACTTAATCAATTGCAAGCTCCAAGGAAGCAGGGATGATGCATTCATTATAACTTCTTTGTAGCCTACACCAGTCCTCACACAAAGCCTCACACAGCAGGTGCATAGACAATATATGTAAGGTGATCAACCATTCTGCCTGTCTGTGCTCCCTCCTTCCATGACTCATCCTTAAATAACTACATGATAGTCATTAATGCTGTGCCATACATTGTACAAGTTAGAGAAGACCTGCGGAGGAAAACCCAACCTTGCCTTTTCAAAGTTTTTCATCCTTTATTTTACAAAGATCTTTTCTAGGGCAATATTTAGTTACAATTTAGATGGCACCAATTCTTTTCAAAAAATTCCTAAATAAGAATGTGCTCAGAAATTTCATCATTTGTGGTTTTGAAATAAAATTCTAACTTAAGAGCTAGGCATATCTTTAGTTCCCCCTGACTTTTCCAGCACCTTTTTTGCTCTCGTCTTTGTCTGTTTCACCTTCCTAATCCTTGGGTTCTGTTACATCTCCTTTCATTTCCCATTTTTACAACTATGAAGGTCATCAAGTCCACATGACCTACTAAAGCAAATAGACTGTTGGGATGAACGTAGGGTCTTGTGGACACTTATACCACCCAGCAGTGTTGCCTCATGTCTGTGTTTATTTCCTGCCCCCTTTACTCTTTATTTTAACTTCGATGAACAATGGTCATTCTACATCTTTAGGAATTTCATTAATACAGAGTCTTCCTCAGCCCATAAAGTCATTTTGTGAGAAAAATCTGTGGTTATTTCTGTTCTTCATTTTATATCTTCGGGATTTGGGGAGTTGTCTTAGTACTGAGAAAGTAATTGGTGTAAGGATTTCTTTGGATAATATTTGGGATGATTAATTTTAAAGATGCTCAGATACAAATGATCCAGTAATCCCAAACTTTTAAAGAAAATCCCTGTGATTTTTAGCATTCTTCAAAATATCACTAATTGAAAGATCCTCCTTTCACTTTGATTCTTCTTTGTTTTTTATTTATACCACTAGTTACAACTTTCTACTAGAATTTTTACCATACCTCATTTTGAAAGTCTCAGCACTATAAAAAGAAAATACATTGAAATTAGAAATATTCTGTAGTCCACATAGATGACTTAATTTCTGTATTCATATTCTCTAGGTCACAAATGGATACTTTTCATGGGGCAGTGGTTTAGCTACATTATCCAATATAGACATTCGAATTCCAACAGGTAAGAGTCCTTCGTTATACATTGTTATACTTTGTTATACACATGTACATTTGTAATTGTTATTTTTTAGAAAATATTTATTTTTTAGTTGTAGTTGGACACAATACCTTTATTTTTATTTATTTATTTTTATGTGGTGCTGAGGATGGAACCCAGGGTCTTGCACGTGTGAGGCAAGCGCTCTACCGCTGAGCCACAACCCCAGCCCCGTAATTGTTGTTTATAACAATCATAGTTTTCCAAGATAACTGAGCTTCACAAAAAAAGGACTTTTAAAGGACACAAGCAGTTGGTTAGGATTACCTATTTGTACCATGTTGCTCATGAGCTGCTATATCACTGGAGGATGACTAGAATGATAAAGCCTGCCTTTCAACACAAAAGACAATCTTTGAACAAGTTATTTACTGCTGGTTAGTGCCACTTAAATAGTGGTATAATTGATTTCTCATTTTGAGTGCAAAAAGCTTTAAAAAAAAGCACATATGTAAGAAAACTATTTTCTATTTCTGAAGAATACTGATGAAGTTTTCAAGATATTTAAGACTCAGTTACCCCATAATTTTATTAATTTGCCATTTATTTGTTTATTTTTAAAGTAAAATAGAGAAAATGGCATTTCTTTTTTTGGTATATTATTACTTGTTTATTACTTATACTGTGTCTTGTTCCAAGAGAAAATAATATTTCTTTGTACATAAATACCACATTTTCTTTATCTATTCATGTGTCAGTAAACATCTGGCTTGTTTCTCTATCTTGGATATTCTGAATAATGCTACAGTGAACATGGAGTGCAAATATATCTTTAAGGTCCTAATTGTAATTATTTTGCCTCTACACTGAGATGTGAGATTGCTGAATCATATAGTAGGTCTGTTTTTAAATTGAAGAACTGCCATTCTGCTTTACATAGTGGCTGTACAGTTCTGCATTTCCAGTAACAGTCTATAGGGTTTCCATTTCCCCACATCCTTGCCAACACTTGTTATCTTGTTTTTGACAATAACTATACTAACAGGTGTGAAGTGATATCTCACTGTGATTTTGATCAGCATTTCCTTGATTAGTGGTGTTAAACATCTTTTTATATACCTGGTTACAATTCCTATGTCTTCATTGGAGAGATATGTATTAAATTCCTTTGATCATTTTTTAAATTGTGCTATTTCGCCCCCCCCCCCCAAATATTTTCTCCTATTTTGTCAGTGAATTTTCCCGCTGTTGATCATTTTCTTTCCTGGGCAAAAGGTTTCTATTTTGATGTGGTTTTACTTTTCTACTTTTTGTTTTGTTGTTTTTGATTTTGATGTCAAATCCAAGAAATCATTGCCAAATCATTATCAAGAAGTTTTTCCCCTATTTGTCTTCGAGGATTTTTATATTTTTGTGTCTGGCAGTTTAGTCTTTAGTTCATTTTGAACTGATTTTTGTGCATCATGCAATCTATCAGTATAATTTCATTTTTTTGTGTGTGAATTTTATTTTCCCAACATCACTAGTTGAAGAAACTATGCTTTCCCCATTGCATTATCCTGCTGTCTCTGTTGAGGATCTGTGGTATATGTGGTTTATTTCTGGGCTCTCTCTTTTGTTCCCTTGGTCTCTTTGTTTGTCTTCATGTAGCAGGTACCTCACTGTTTTGAATGCTGCAGCTTTGTAATTGTATTTTGAAGTAAAGAATTATGATGTTTCCAGATGTATTCTTATTTCTGAAGATGGCTTTGGCTATTTGGGTCTATTGTGGTTCCATATGAGTTTTAGTTAATTTTTCAATTTTTGTTAAAAATGCCCTTGGGATTTTGATTGAGGTCACATTGAATCTCTAGATTGTGTTCTAAAGTATGGACATTTTAACAATATTAATTCTTCAAATCCATGAACTTGGGATATTTTTCTACTTATACTTGTGTTGTCTTCAATTTTTTTTATTACTGTTTTGTAGTTTTTAGTGTACAAGCCTTTCTCCTGTTGGCCATGTTTATTCCTAACAGTTATATACGATGAACAAACTGTCCATAAAGGAAATTTAGAAAACAATACCATTTATACCCAGGTATTAAAGAGAAAAAATAGAAATAAAGCCAATAACTTTATTTGAAATATCTGGATAATTGAATAGAAATATTTATTTGACATGGCCTAATGGTCAGTAGGTTAGTACTTCTCCGTAATATCTGCAGGCCCAAGTGAGAATTTAGGGGGAATGTCTTAGTAACTTAGTTCAAATCACTTTCACCTCATTTATCTATTTTACTCAAAACTTCCTTTTTCTCCTGAGTGAATTGAATAATAAATTTAAAACTAATCTAGATGATTTAGGAAATTATTTCATTGCAGTCTTTAACAATTTCAGCAATTCTTCATTTTAAGATAATAAGTTAAGACCTACATATTTTAATTTTTCTTTTCTTTTCAACAAAGACAGATACATCAAGAAAGGAGCTATTTAGATGACTTTATTGCTAGAAACCAGACCAGGCCCTTCATAAATGTGTTTTTATAAATGTGTTTTTTCCCAGTTAGCTGAACTGCTAATTTTTTAATAAATTACAAATCAGTTTTGAAATGTGTTTGCCGTCTCTTACAACATATGATGGCATCTGATAATAGTCAATGGATTTCTAATTTCTGCTGTTAGGTTTGTCTCCTAGATTAAGTTATCTCTCCTCTTGGGGGCCATCATTTCTAAATGTGTCTTAATTTATTTCAATGAAAGTTACTTTCCATCTTCTTTATTATCTTTTTGTTTTGTCTCTCTAGGTCAGTTAACCATGATTGTGGGTCAAGTAGGATGTGGGAAGTCCTCTCTCCTCCTCGCCATCCTTGGTGAGATGCAGACACTGGAAGGGAAAGTGCACTGGAGCAAGTATGTGTATTTTTCAGTGGTTTCTGTTGTTCTGTTACATATCTGATAATCTTTCAAGGGAAATATTTAGAGTAATAGACTCCCATGTTATGAGTGTGAGAACCTCTTACAAATAAGCACAGTTTCTAAAAAAAATTAGTGGAAACCTTAAATGTCATAAAGAAAAAGTTTTAAAATGATTTATTATAGAGGTTTAGAATGGTATAAACTAGTATGTTGTAGAGATAACAGTAAGGTTGGGGATATAAAGACATTTTTTAGGTAAATAAATGGGTAGCACTAAAAGAAAAAACTTAAAATTTTATTTTATAATAAAATAAGTTATGGGAAACTTGCATTATTTATAAAGCTTACATGCAAACAAAACTTGAGTGATTCAATAGAGAAGAAATATTAAATGATGTTTCTCAGAATCTTCATAAGAGACTATGAATTAGAAATTTCTCCTCATGCTTAATGTAGACACCAAAAGCATCTGGTTAGAGATGTATGGGTCAGACATGTATGTTGTGCAACTCTAAAAAGGTAAAAACTGAGATATGGTGTGTCATCTCACTATTGGAATGGTTAGTTTTGGGTCTTCAAAGAACATCATGGTAATATAAAATTATTTAGAACCATAATAACATAGAATTGAGTAATTTTAATTTTTTTAAAACTAAATCATATTTATTTACTTTGGCCTACATGGTAGACTTCCTATATGTAGAAACTGGTTATAGCTTATTTAAGAAATCAGACTATCTGCTTTTGACTCTAAATCAGGTGTAATTTGCCTCCAGGTATATTTGGCAGTATTTGGAGACATGCTTGGTTGTTAAACTGGGAAATTGGGCTGCTGTTGTTTAGCTAGTAGGCATCAGAGATGCTGCTAAACATCCTACAATATACAAGGAAGTCCCCACAGCAAGGAATTATCTTGTCCCAAAAGTCAGTTGTGCTGAAGTTGTAAAATTTTGCTCCTAACCTACAAGTATTCTTAAATGTCATTTTGTACCTACTATCATGAGTCCTATTGTGACTTAGTCTGCTGTTTACATATGCAGACATCCCTCAAGGAGTACAGATGATTTATAAGCCTATTCAGAACTGATTCCATTTTAAAGACTAAAGAAAAGAAAGAAATGCATAGATGTAAAATTTGCCCTGGAATCAGTGTAGAACTGTAAAGTTTATTTTCAGTGACTTTGACAAAAGAAAGAGGCTGAGAAACATTGAGTGGACATTGTATCCCTATTGTATAAATCTACAAGATTGTAGCAGTGAAACGTTTACAGAATGTTCAGCAGAGAGCTCAGTAAGTAGTTGCTACCTCAGTTTGCTTCATGGCAGTTTCCTGTCAATCACTAAATTCAGGCCCTCAGAGGTGTTTGCCCTGCCACTGTCATCTCCCTTCTTGGATGAGGAACAAACCCTACAAGATTAAATTGTATTGTGTGCCAGAAAATGCTTGAGGTCACATTTTCATAGCTCTATGAAGTTCTCATAATCAGTTCTCCAGTGTTACTTTTATTTCCAGGCCCCAGTGCCAGTTAGACCAAATTGACTCCCATTGTTATCATTACTTTATTAATGAATAAACAGATGACATGAGGATATGGAAAATATTTTATGCAATCTAGTTTTTTTTTTTTGCTTTATTAAGCTTATGTGTCATTTATTTCCTACCTCGTTTTTTTAAAGATTGTATATTTTTTAATTTAAAATGACAGAGAAGTTACAAAATAAAGGTAAGGAAATCAAGAAGGAAAACAAGGTTTAAATAATAATATGAGAGCTGTGGATATAGCTCAGTTTGTAGAGTGTTTGCCTCACATGCACAAGGCCCTGGGTTCAATCCCCCACACATAATCATCATCATCATCATCATCATCATCATCATCTGATAAGTTAATAGAAATTTGTGAACTGGAGTTTTGTTTAATTTAAAAAACATGAACTACACATTCATTCATTTGAACTTCATAGAAGGAAGCAAAGAAGAAAAGATGAAATAAAAGTATACTCAATAAAGATTAACAATTTTCTCTTTTTGGAAAAACTATGACAGAAATTTCTCCCATATTAATTTTTTAAAAAGTCAATAAAAATTACTTAATGTTTAATGTTCTCAATATTCCTAAAAAATCATTCAAAACCAGATTTAATGTGTCAATTAACTTAAAAATTGAAAATATCACCACAGTTTATTTTGTAAATGCTTTTTGAGGGTTTAGAGGGCACATGGGAAGGAGTAAGGGATATGATGAGACATGTTTTTATATCAGGAATGTTCGGAGGATCCGAACTTTGTTTTAAAGAGTTATTTGTGATTTCTCTTTTAATTCTAGAAAAAATAGTTATATGTCCAGTTCAATAAGCAAGGGCATATAAATATTAATTAGTATTAATATACAGCTAATTTAGAAGTCATCAGTATTGACAAGATGATGATTTAGATTTTTTTAAAGCTTAACACAAAACCAAGTGAAGCAATTAACTAAATAGTTCTTCTTTCACCATTTCACGTATCTCTGATTGCATAAGTTTTATTTTCAATTGTATCTTCATAGAATGGCATCAGCAAAATCCAGGAAAGTTCTCTGACCTACTGCAGTGAGAAATATTTACACTGGCAGGAGAGAAGGCACTGCTGTTCATCTAGGACCCATTTACATGGGTAGAACCTGGTACACCAAGACACTCTTAGATGCTTCTTAGATACCTTGGCCCAGTCTGACGTGTTATAGACCTAGAGGAGAAAGATGAGAGAAAGGAGAGAAGAACTAAAATATTCTTTAACATTGCTGGAATGCCAATTTGCACATCATTCTTGCATCTGGGTGTGCTTTACATTTGTTGAAAAGCAAGTGTTCTACCTGAATGAAGTTGTCATTTCCTGAGTGTCATGATATACATTCATACCTAATATTTTTGGACATAGGACTAACATTCCTTATCTGATGGATGGTTCCAGTGAGAGAAACCAGAATGCGTAATAATCATGTGAGAAATAGCTGATGTTTATGTTTGTTTTCTTTTCTTTCTCATCCATGCCACCAGCCATTCTATTCAAGATCCATCTATCCTGATGTTTTATCTTTTAGCACCTTGGTGCAATCTGCTTTATAACAGTGATTCAGCATTTGAAGACAGATGAATTAAAGAGTTATTCTTCTTTGTGTGACTTTGCCTGGCATGAAGGAATAATAATTCAATAATATATTGAGTCAGCTTTCCTGGATCATCATGTTTTTGTCAACATCTAGCTTTCCTTCTTCCAAATACTGTTCCTGACTTAAGTAAGCTTGAAAAAGTCACTTTCCATTCCATAATGTATCAACCATAATACTTGGAAGTTGCTAGTAAACCAACTTTAACTTTAACTTTTAGAAGAAAACACACACAAATTCTACATGGAGAGGCATTCAGAAGTGAAATCCTATTTTCCAGAAGGAGATTTTCCATTTGGTATCTTTGCTGTCTCTTATTGCCTTTGGCGCTGTTCACTACCCCACTATGGTGGAAGATGAGTCTAGACATGGAACAACTGATTTTCATATTACCAAATAAGGTCCAATTTTGGAATTCAGAGCTGACTCTTTGTTTTGGAAGGGGAAAAAATAACCTTCCACATGGATTTTGATTAACATATTGTCATGTGAGAGGGTGGAAATAGGTGATCTCCAGAAGTAAAGGACTGTAACATTACTTATGGAAAATGTGAGAGAATAGGATAATTTTTAATTTGCTCATGGAAGATGAATTCTTAGAAATGTATCTATATCTACCTTCCCTTTCTTCCTCTAAAAAGTAGTAGATGTATAGCACATTTTATTTTTACCCTCATAGAAAAATATACCTAGAACTTTGGAGGAAAGTTCTCAGAAATTAAGATCTCCTCTGTGCTCTCTCTCCTTTTTAAGAACTGACTACTTTAATTATCACTTTTATCTTTACTTCTTGCTCTTCACACTCCATTATCCTCTATTAAAAAATGGCTTTGCCTGTCTTTCAAGCAACTGGGACATTTCTCTTTTCAAAAGAGCAGTCTACCACACTCACCTCCTTTCTTTTCTTTCATTCTGTGAGTGGCCATCTGGACAAAGTTCTCACCAATGCCTGCATAAGGGCTGGGTCCCACTTGTTAGTTCTCAAACCTACTAAACTTCTTCATAGCTTCTGACACTTCACCACTCACGACTCCTTGAAACCAATTCATTTCTTGATTTCCATGACACTTTCATTTATTCACTTACCAAAAATATTTATTGTGTATCTATTACATACAAATCATGATATTAGTTGTTAGAGGATAAATAAGTAGATAAGGATAGCCAGGCCCCTATTTTCATGGAAATTTACTGTTTACCAGAGGAGACCATGAGAAAATAAGAAAAAAATTATATTTAATTATTCTTTTATATAAATACCAAGAAGGAGAAGTACAAGATTTTATAAAAACAAAATGGGTGACCTAACTGAATAGGGCCAAGAAGGAATTTCTTAGGGGGAGGTGAATAAATTAATGACCATTTGACCTTGCATTTTAAGTGTAAACCAAAATCAATGAGTAAGAAAGTCAGGAGCTGCAATAAAAATTGTGATGAAAGAAGTGGAAGAATACTCTAATTCTCCTTCCATCCTTTTGACTGCTCTTCTGAGTCTACTATAGACAATAGGAACTCCTTCAATCATCCTTTAAATTATGACTTTGATTCTGATACTCTCTAAATACTAATAATACCTACTATACATTTTGAGACAGTCTTCCTTCTGAAGACCCATAGCTCTCCAAAAAGGCTTATACAAGCTGCAAATTCAATACCTACAAACTGGAATTCTATCCCTCATATCTCCAAATCCTGCTTCTCCTCCTGTTTCCTGATTACGCTGTATCCTTATCCCCTAAAATCAGTTGGTGGGTGCCTAAGTCAGAGCTCAATGCATCAACCTAGACTCCACTTTCCATCACCCTCAAAATCTAGCCAATTACTATCTCCATTCTTCCAATTTTCTGA